TTTTTTTTTGCTGGTTCAGCCCACCCTGAGGGTGGGGCTGGCCCCTTATGTGGTGCTGGGAATCAAACTGCGGTCCTCTGAGCCTACCTAAGCTTGCCTAAGCAGGCACTTTAGACCACTGAGCTATCTCACCAGCCCAAACATGTCCATTGATTCCTGGTGACTGTCAGGTCAGGGAAGCCTGGCCACATGCTCCTTTCAACATGCCTTTCCCACAGGAGTGAAACAGCCCAGCTCTCTGGCCTCAGCTAACTAGATGAGGGGGCACAGGAGCAGGGGGCATGGTGTGGCTGGCCTCATCTGCACTGGGTTTTCTTGGGGTATACCCCTAGACTGGCTTTTTGCCTGGCCTGTTGGGGTTCTGCTGTGCAGCTGGAACGGCCACCAGCTATAATGGCAGCTGGGTGCTCCTTTGCCCAATGGGGAAACTCACAGCGTCTGGGCTCCAGTCACGGTCAGTACTGCTCCTGTTCTGCCTGCTGAGTGGCTTTTTTTTTTTTTTTTCAGAACCAGAGATTGAACTCAGGTCCTTGCACTTGCCAGGCAAGTGCTTATTCTACTGAGCTATCTTCCTGGCCCCTGCTGAGTGGCTTTGCTTCCAGGGCCCAGAACCAAGAGGAACCTGAGCACAGCAGCTGTGTGCCCCCAAGGCTGTGCATGCCGTGTTCGTCATCTGTCCTGCCCCCCAAAATTTTTCCTGTTTTCATAGCTTGGGACTTTAGTACAGTCAGAAGAACAGAACAAACAATTCCTGGATGTTGTCATACGCATTCCTTAAATTTGTATCACTGTATTTATCTTTTACACACAAACATACACACACATGCAACAATGCTTTAAAAAGAAGCTGAAGACATGTTCCTTTACCTATCTGATTTCTGGAAAACAAAGAAGCCTCTTCCCCCAGCACAGCACACTGTCTGTTACGGTGTCTATCTGCATGACTCTCCCCAACTAGGGGCTCATGGTTGGTGTGCTACCCCTGGCTTGGTGTTGGGAGGTGGGGGCTGATCAGAAGAAATTGCTCACTGAGGGTGTGACCTGGAAGGTTTATCTCACTCCCTAGCCCTTCCCCTTTTTATTTCTGGGCCAACATCCATGTACAACTCTGCTCTGCTAGACCCTCTACCAGCCAGGTGTCCTGCCTTGGCACCAGTGACTGCGGACTGAAACACGAGCCACAATGAACCTCTCCCTCCAGAAGTTGTAGGTATCAGTTATTATATTCCAGGGAGATAAGGGGCAAGAGAATGATCAACATCAGGAAACTCAAATACGCACAAAGCCAGGTATGGTGGTGCCTGCTGTAGTCCCAGCTACACGGGAGTCGGAGGTGGGAGGTTCAGTTTAGCTCAGGAGTTTGAGACCAGCCGGGTCAATTTAGTAAGAACCTTTCTCAAAACAAACAACTGAACAATTGTGTGATCTATAGATCTTACTCCAATCTCAACTTACCTTCAAATCTCCTGCCAGAGTCTGTAGGACACCTTCAGCCTCGTATGATCTCTCCTCATGTTTATAATCAGTGATAATACAAGCAATGTGTTACTTGTTAGACATCTACCATAGGGGCTGGGGAGATGGCTCAGTGGAACAAGCGCTTCCCGTGCAAGGGCCTGAGTTCAATCCCTGGTTCCAAAAAAACAAAGACATCTACCATTACCAGGACTTGGCATATTTTATCATTTTCCCAGTTTAACAGCTGGTGGGGGGATAGAGTAAAGGGGGGAGCTCAGAGAGGGAGGTTGGACAAGGCCAGAGAGTGTGGAGTTTCCAGGAATGGACCAAGCTGCAGGCTTGTTAAGCATTTCGATGTTCCCATTTGAACTCCAGCTCTGCCTCATACTAACAATTTTCTTAACCTGAACCAATTTCCGTGTCTGTGAGGTGGAAGGACTAGTCCATACAAGCTTCCTGGCCCTTTAGTGCAATTCTGGGAGCTGAAGGACAGGGGCTCTAGGGATTTTCCTCAGGAATAACTGCCCTCACCTGCCCCTGTCCCTGTGTCAGCATGGGAAGATGGGGCTGAATCGATAGTACCCAGCCACCTGGCTTGCCAGCCTAATGTAGTGGCAAACCTGAGGCATGCATGCAGCAGCTGGCTTTTGTATCACTGAAAGTTCCAAAAGGTTTGCCGTAACTGGCCTGCTGTGTCCAGATCTGGGGTGGCTATGCCTGGCTACCACCAATGGCTGTTCCTGTTTAGCACAAAAGCAGAAACAAGCCCCGCCTACCTCTGCACTTGGGACTACCCTGAAAGAAGGCTGGCCAGGGGCTGCGGAGTGAGTGGACAGGAAGCAAGAACCTCCTTAGCCACAGAAATATTCAGAGCAATGGTTTGCTGTGCCATAGCTCTAGTACTTCTGGCAATTTCTGGATACATTTTTGGTTGCCACAATGGGGGTAGGTTGGCACTGATTCCCGGTAGGCACGAGGCCTGAGAGGTTGCCTGCAATGCCCAGGATAGCTCCTGCCCGCCCCCAGCAACAATGCTCTAACCCACAATATCAATACAGCTGGAGGTTGAGGCGCCCTGGTTTAGAGTAACATCTGTGGAGCGAACCTGGTTTCCCGATGTATCATCTTTCTCCCATCATTTTAGATCTGGATGCTTCCAGCATGACTGTGTGACCACAATGCCAATTTCCGGAGGCCAAGAGTATTTTTGTTTCTATAGGATCTTGTTATGTTGCTGGCCAGGCTGGCCCGGAACTCCTGGGCTCAAAAGATCTGGATTGGGTGGGGATATAGCTCAGCAGCACAGTGCCTGCCTGGCAAGCGTTAAGATCCTGAGTTCGATTCCCAACACACACACACACACACACACACACACACACACACACACAGACCCCGATAGCTGGGACCACAGGCACACACTGCCACGCCCGGCCCCAAGGTCTATTGCAATTACTTGACACTTAGTACCCAGGAAACTGGCAAGGACAGCCACCTTCGGGTCTATGTCTCATTTCCATCCACAAGCTTGCACGATTTCAACAAGTGAAGCAAACTTTGGTCACCGTGCACCGAACTGCCCCTTGGACAACGTGGCTGAATTTCTGCTCCCTTCTGAGATACACTGATTGCGACTGCGAGGTCAGCGGAGGATCACGGTCCTGTGCTGGTGGTCCAGGAGGCTGGGACCTCCTCGCCCGGCCGCGCAGCGCTTCCGGCCCAGGAGGGAGCCGTGGAGAAGGTCTCGCCCTCTGCTCAGACCTGCCCCTTGAGCTGCCTGGGTTCAGAGCCACGGGGCCAGTTCGTTCGCACGTCTCCGGGTCACGCGGGCTGGGAGTATTGTCACCGCTTTCATGGCTCGGCGGGGGGAACTGACAGGACTGCCCAGCGCAGCCCAGGCCAGGAGAAGGGGCCTGGGGCTCCTCCCAGACAGGGGAGGCTGGCCGACTTGTAGCACTGGCGCCTGGACAGCGCCGCGTCGCACTTCCGGCCGCCTCATTCTGCATCCGGGGCATGACGTCACCCCCACCGGCGGCCCCGGACCGGAACCGGAAATGGGCCTCGGGTCCGGAGGCGGAAGCGTCCCCGTCACCAGGCGGCTGCCGAGCTGGCTTTGAAGCTGACCTGGGCTGAGCGGGCCGGCGGCCCCGGGCGGCGCCATGAAGCTGTACAGCCTCAGCGTCCTGTACAAAAGCGAGCCTAAGGTGGTGTTGCTCAAAGCCGCGTACGATGTGTCCTCGTTCAGCTTCTTCCAGAGGTCCAGGTGAGTGGACGGCGGGCGGGCGGGCGGGGCGGGTCTCGAACCCCTAGAGTCATCGAGCATCCCCTCGTGAAAGGCTTATGCCCTCCGAGAATATTGTCCTGTTCTTGCAGGTTTTCAAATTCCTGCAAAGACTAGAAGAGGGTTTCGAAATAGCGCAGATTCCCAGGGTTTACGCCCAGATGTCCAGAGCTAGTAGGGTGAGTCCCAGGAATGTATATTTTAAACCAACGCCTCGCACCCAATTGTTGGTTCCGACCAGGAGCTGGGTGCTGTGTTGAGACCCATCTTTGTATCTCCTCACGGGTCCGTGTGAGAGAGGTCCATAGGGTTTGTTAGTTGTGTGTTTTTGTTGCAGATCTTTAGTGGGCGAAATCTGAGGTTCTCCTACGAGTTAAGCTCGAAGCCCAGATTGTATGCTGTTTGGCGGTTGGCACTAGTGGTGCCAAAGGTTTGGAATACAAGATCTGGAAAGAAGCGTCAGATCAAGGCTTAAGGACTTGTAAAAATATTTCAGACACTGAATTAGAGGAAGCTGCGTATTCCGCTTAGCCCATTCATTAGTAGTGAGTGCAGAGTGTCGGGGACGCAAAAGAGAAAGTCCCCGCCAAGGACCTGTGGTCATCTAGTGTCGAAGTCTGGTGAATTCTGCTTTCAGTTTTCATTACTTCGGGGCTGCTAATCCCTCTTGATGAGAGTATTTTTTGACTGAATCTAAACCAATTTCTGTTACTTTGTTGATTTTTTTTTTCCCTTGTGGTAAAATACACCTAACAAATGTATCATGTTCATCATTAAAAGCTGGAATTCTGTACCCATTCAATGCTAGCTCCCCTTTCTTTCTCCAGTTTCCTGCTAACGAACTGCCCACAATTCTGACTGACCAGTAGTTGTTACCCAGGGAGATTCATATGTGTGAAATCATGCAGTGTTTGTCTTTTTGTGTAGCGCTTATTTCCCTTAGCATACAGCCCCAGACTTTGTCTTTGTTGGTCAGTTTATCAGAATTTCCTTCCTTTTTGTAGCCAAATATATTTCATGATGTGTAGACACTGTTGTGCTAACCCGTGCATCAGTTTTAGCTATTACAAACACTGCTGAATTTTTAGCATTAGTAATGTCAGTTGGAATGCCAAAGCAAGTGTAAGCTTACAAGCATCTCTTTTTTTATGTATTCAGTAGAGGGCCTTACAGGGTCTCACTACACAGATTAGACTCGTAGTGATCCTTCTGTTTTCAGTCTCCCAAGTGCTGGGATTTCAGACACCCGCCACCACGCCCAGTCTTAAGTCTCAGTCTCAGTCTCAGTCGCAGTCGCAGTCCCAGTGCACCCTGGGGGTGGGGCAGACACGTGGTACCAGGGAGAGGGTTCGAACCCCAGTCCCTGCACTTGCCTAAGCAGGTGCTTTTAGTTCACTGAGCTATCTGGTCAGCCCACAAACATCTCCTTAAGACCCTGCTTGTGTTATCTTTGTTGTGGATCCAGAAATGGCGCTGCTGTGTCATCTTTTGGCCCAGTCTTGTAACTCTGGATTCTTCCCTTTGTTTACCTTGGCCTCCAGTCTCTGCTCTATAGTAGTGCCTTTTTCTGATTGGAACTTTTGGTGCAAATTTTGTTTTTGTTCTGCTTATTTCTTTTTTTTTTTTTTTTGGCCCTTGCACTTGCCAGTGAAGCACTTATTCCACTGAGCCATCTCCTTGCTCACTCGCTCGCTCGCTTGCTTGCTTGCTTTTTCCACTTATACTGCAGGTTCTCACAGATTTCGCTGTGGGGCTTACACCTCGCTTCTTTGGGATGCCTGCACTAGTCACAGGTGACTCACAGCTATGGCAGGAAAGGGACATCTCTGCTGGAGACACTGCTGCTCCGGCTGACCTAGGTTTCTCACGAGACTGCCGCACTTCTGTCCTTCCTGTCTCATGATTGCCAGCCTGTGAGCTTAAGGCCTTTAATAGTTTCCCAACTCTTCTGGCCTTCATATACTGATGCTCACAATTAGTACACTTCTTTCTTTGTGTAATTATAGTCTACTTCTATGTGCTGTATCTTTTGTAGTTATGCAAGTTTTTCCGTATCTGAGGTCTTAACTTTCCTAAGATTATTTTCTTTTTTATGATTAGTTTGATCTAGTTCACTCATGATAATAGCTGGCAGTACTGCGTGCAGGTGTTTTACCAAGTGCTTTGCATGTATTTTTTAATTTTTTTTTTTTTTTTTTTTTTGTGGAACCAGGGATTGAACTCAGACCCTTGCGCTTGCCAGGGAAGCACTTATTCCACGGAGCCATCTCCCTGGCCACTCCTTTTTTTTTTTTTTTTTTTTGCATATATTAATTTGTTTAATCATCACACAGGGCCTGATTCCACAGGCAAGGCACTGTGTGGAAACCCGTGTGACACCTGCCAAGTGTGAGCTAGGTGCCCAGAGTTGGTCTTAGATGTTGAGTTGCCCTCTGGGGGCCCTAGTGGAGGCCTTGATCGCCTAGTTGAAGACCTGTTTGATGGCTGTCCTTGATCTTGCATCCTCCTTTAGAAGTTCCTTTTTAGCATCTGTCCCTCTGCTGGACCATATCCAGTGATTGTCCCATTTGGTCACATCTCTCTGTCCCATGATGAACCTTTTTCCCAGCTTTTGTACAAGCTGTCCTCACATCCTTGTCTTGGCCAGACTGTCTCTTTTTCTTCCTCCCAGAATGCTTGGGGCTGGTCCTAAGCTGGCACTCACTGCAGTAGTGTGTGCCATTGCCAAGGTCTGATGTGTGGCTACAGCAGTAACAGGTGTAGAGCTGTCCAGAAGTTTTGGCCACTAGTGGTTTTTCTTTTCTTTCATTTTTTTTGTTTGGTGGAACCGGGGATTGAACTCAGACCCTTGCGCTTGCCAGGGAAGCCGTTATTCTACTGAACCATCTCCCCGGCCCCACTAGTGGTTTTTCTAGTGTGTTTTATGTTTGTTTGTTGCTTAGAAACTAGACCTTGAGCTGCCTCCTAATTTTGCACTCTGACCAATTGTTAAATTGACTGTAACTTGAAGAATTCTCCAGAAGTCTAGAAGTGGGTTGTTTTTGTGTGGTGTCAAAACAGGTGTGACTTAAGTGGGGTGATGATTCATATTTGTCCATATTTATCTGTGTTTTCAGTGTTTGTTATTAAGGTTGAGAGGGAAAGGAATGAATCAAGAGGCAGTGTCTCCTATAAGCTAAAAGGTCACTTTCTACTGTACCAGGGACAAGGTGACAAAAGAATGTAATAAGTGTGTGTTGTGTTTCTTAGTGTTCAGGAATTCATGACCTTCACAAGTCAACTGATTGTGGAGCGCTCGGCGAAAGGCAGCAGAGCTTCCGTCAAAGAGCAAGGTAAGACGCCCGGCGGTGCGCGGGTGTGTGCTGCCTGGTCCCTACCCTAGCAGCACAAGCTGTCCTTGGGGACATGCATCCCTCTGCTAGCTCGCCCCCGCTCCCCTCCCCTCTTCCTGTGGATGCAGAGTTCTGTACCCGCTGTTGGATTCTAAGCTTCTAGGATACAGTTGCCCTTGAGGCTTAGACTCACTTAAGATGAGAGACTGACTAACTTGCAGCAGAGCAGCCTGCGCATTTTTCCCTTCCCCCTTCAGAATGTAGTCCCCCAGAAAAGACTTCCCGCTAGCTCTACATTCTGCATGCCTTAGCTTTTTTTACCAGAAATCTGAAAATTCAGTTTTTTTCTTTTTCTTTCTTTCTTTTTTTTTTTAAAGTTCTTCTGTAGACTTTTATTTTATTTTTTTAAAATTTTATTTATTTATTTATGTGCGTGTGTGTGTGTGTGTGTGTGTGCACGCGCACGGGGCCAGCTCAGCCCACCAGGGGGCGGGGCTGGCTGGCATGTGGTGCTGGGGGATTGAACTGCAGTCCCTGTGCTTTGCTAAGCTTGTTCTAAGTAGGTGCTTTAGACCACTGAGCCATCTCACCAGCCCCAGTTTTTTTCTTTTTCATAAGTCAAGTCTTGTATTGCAATTTGTAAGCATTTGTTTTAGACCCACAAGTTATATAGATTAAGAAAGAGTTACTCGGGTTTGTCAGGCAGAGACCAAGACCACTTCACAGGCATGCTGTCCCCAAGTCGCTTGGTGTGGAGCTGCTGAAGTGACGGCAGAAGCATCAGCCAGTGTTGCATGCGTTGCTGCCCGTGGGCTCCCTGTGCTGTGAGTGTCATGTGATGAGAACAGGAACACTTCAGTGCGCTTGCCTGTCCCTTCAGTCTGCCTGCCCTGTGCATTTTATCACGTGGCTCTTGCTTTCTGTGGGGGATGTGCACTTCAGCCCTGCGTTTGAGTTTTGCTTACTTGGGAATGTCTCCAAAGTGGAGAGTGCCGATACTAACTCTGTACCACTCCTCAGCCCTTTTCTGACTTTAGGGGCTCATAGTCTTTCCTGCCTGTTTTGATTTCTTTTTTCTTTTTTCCTTTTTTTTTTTTTTTTTTTTTTTTGTATTTTTAGTACAGGGTCTACATAGATCTGACTTGTAGTGATCTGCCTCTGTTCAGCCTCCCAAGAGCTGGGATTACAGGCATGCGCCACCACGCCCAGTCTCCATCAATGCCTCAGTGCACCTGGGGATAGGGCCAGCGTGGCACACTGGGGATCAAACCCGGCCGCTGTGCTCTGCCTAAACAGGTGCTTTAATCCGCTGAGCTATTTGGCTGGCCCTCTCTGCCTGTTTTGTAACAGGGAATCTTCTGGGTCAGAGCTGTAAGAACAAGAGGGCTCATATTCTTAAGCTGTAGGCCTTATTTTTTTCTTACTTTGGAGGCGTGGTTAATTGTGTCATGCCTGAATCCTGTCCAGATGCTGACGGCCGCAATCCTGAGGCCCGACTCTTTTGCTAAAGCCCTTGTACAAACTGTACTTTTTGCAATACTGGGAATTAACCTGGACTTCTGCATTCAGCCGCATCTTTATCCCTTATATGTTTTAAAACTTTGAGACAGGGTCTTCCTAAGTTGCCTGGGTGGGGCTTCAACTTGCATTCCTGCCTCAGCCTCCAGAGTGCTGGGGTTAGAAGCGTGTGCCACCAACACCCAGCTAAACTATACTTTTTGATTGTGTGACAGTGGAGGCTTCAGCCAGCAGTTGCTAATTTTCCCTAGACAGATCCTCCGGTCCCTTAGCACGGGCTGGAGTCGGCTGAGCAGTGTTGCCACAGCTTGAAAAACTTGAGGCCGGGAGAGGTAATGTCCTATTTTGGGCGACTCTGAAAGGCTTTAGTTTTTGTGTTTTTAGTAGGGGCTGCTTGTCTGGGGTTTCCTCACGTTGGGAGCAACACAGCCTCTGAGGGCTGTGACTCATCAAGAGGTAGCCAGCCGGTCTGACCTGGACATGGGCCTGGGCTTGCGTGGTGTTTCCTCAGCCTGGCATCTCTGTCCAACCTTCAAGGCCCGGCACTGCTGGTCCTGAGCAGGTGTGGGCCAAGCTCCAAATGTGGGCCTGGAGCTGCGCTGTGGCTCCTCCTAGGCTCCACCCAGAACCGTGGAGCTTCAGAGGCTTTGCATGAGCCAGGAGGCAAGGGCCAGCTTGTAAATCCTTGGTTTGGGGGATTGAAAGCAGCCTGAAGCCCTCATGTTGTTCTCTTGCTTCCCCAGAGTATCTGTGTCATGTCTATGTCCGAAACGATGGCCTGGCGGGTGTGGTCATTGCCGACAGCGAATACCCATCCCGGGTGGCCTTTTCCTTGCTGGAGAAGGTGGGTGTGTGGTTTGCCTGCACTGACCTAGAGTGCTGAGGGCAGACGTCAGGGGCAGTGCTAAGCACAAGGACAGCTGCTCGCGTTCCCTCCTTGCCCTGCCCCAACTCAGCTGGGCTCCTTCTCTGTGCCAACTGCTCTGTCCCAGCCCCTGGGCTGCAGGGCCTTCCCTCAGCAGGACTGTTGTGCCGTGGGTTCCTGTGGGTGGTTTCCCGCACAGGTGTCCTGTGCGGGGTTCCTTAAGCCCACCTGTGCTCTCCACTGCTCCTGCCATCTCTGCAGCTCTCTCCCCTGGTGTAGGGCAGGTGTTGCTCCGTGCAGCTTAGCACCTCAGTATACTTGTCACTGTGTAGTTGGCTTTTCCCAGTACTAAGGATTGATCCAGATTGAGCCCAGGGCTTTTGCACTGAGCTGCATCCCCAGCTATTTTTTTATTTTTTGAGATAGATCTCAGTAAGTCACCAAGTTGTCCAAGCTGGGTTTGAACTTGTGACCCTACTGTCTGAGCTTCCCAAAGTGTTGGGATTGTACGTGTGCGTCACTACGCCCATACTTTAATGCCTTTGTGTGGCGCTAATTATAAACTTTAAGACTGAGGCCTCATCTTGCCGATAGCGAGTAACCATTCTGGGTACTCCTAGTTCCAGGCATGTGATGTGGTTGCTTAAATCCAAAATATGTAGTTCTCCTTCTTGAAAAACATGAAGTTCATCTCATCTTGAGCATTCTTCAGTTTTGATTCCTACATCTTTGGATATATTTTGATGACAAGAAACATTTGGGAAGAGGAGCTATCGACTTGGCTCCCCTGCCATTGGATGGCGTCTTCCCTCCCTGGGCTCTGGGCACTCAGTCAGGCCAGGGTGCGGGGCACTGCCATGGTGCGGAAGCTCATGGGACTGGTTGTCTTGCAGGTACTAGATGAGTTCTCCAAGCAGGTCGACAGGATAGAGTGGCCCGTGGGATCCCCAGCCACCATCCAGTACATGGCCCTGGAGGGTCACCTCAGTAGATACCAGGTGGGTTTGCAGAGACATCAGGGATGGGGACCACAAAGCGGCAGGCAGGCCGACCAGCACCGTGTGGGCTCGGGTCTGGTGCTGCCACCGCTGCCGGAGCCTTCACACCTTCTGCTTCGAGACGGGGACCTGCTTATGTTTAAACGCTGTTTTTCCAGTGTTTGGGCGTTGGTCGCCTTCCTCATTGAGTTTGTTTCCAGGTCATTGCTCTGGTCCTAGCTGTTGTTGTTTTGGCTTTTTCTAGAACCCCCGAGAAGCTGACCCCATGAGTAAAGTGCAAGCTGAGCTAGATGAGACAAAGATCATTCTGGTAAGTGGGAAGGTGGAGAGCGCGGCAAGAATCAAGAGGCAGCGGGGTGTGCTGGCACACACCTGTAATCCCAGCGCTCAGGAAGCTACTAAGGCAGGAGGATCACTGAGTTTGTGGCTTGCCTGGGCTACAAGTGAGACCTTGTCTCAAACCCCAAAAAACTGAAGGGCAGACGGATGTGCCTGCCGCTGAGCCCGTGCCAGTAGGTCCTCATTTTAATAATGCCACAGAGTTCCCAGAAATGATGGTGCCACCTGGCCACCTTCACACTGTTCCTCCCTGCTGTGCCCCTGGTACCTGGTACCCCTTGTTGGCAGGGCATCAGGCTGGGAACTGGCCTCATCTTTTAGTTGTCGCCCTGTGGCCCCTCCGTGTTGGGCAGTTGAGGCTCCACGGCTGACCCTGAGGTTGGCCCCAGGGCTGTCTCCCCGCTGTGCTGCCTCAGGGCAGCTTGGCCCTGCTGTGACCTGCTTCTGGGTGGGAGGAGGCAGCACGGCTGGGGCAGCCCGGTTCATGCCGCAGGACTGTTTGCAGTTGAGCTGGAGCTTGCCTTTTGCTGTGTGTGTGCTGGGAAAGAATCCGGGACCACTATAGTGAGCTGTGCCCATCCCTCTCCCCACTTTTAATTTTGAGACAGGATCTAACTGAGTCACTGAATGGGCCAGGCTGGGCTCCAACTTGTGGTTTTCCTGCCTCTGCCTCCCAGAGTGTTGGGGGGAGGGCTTTGCTTTTATGTGAAACCTGATTTAGAAGGCTGCCCTCCCTTTTGTTTCTCAATTCTAGCTGGCTGTTTTTCTCCTCAGTGTTGGTCTTTGTGTCCTTTTTCTGTAACCAGCTCCTTCCCTCCCTGCATCCGTCAGTCCTGAGCCATCTATCTGTCTAGAAGCCTTCAGTCCCGCGTCTCTGGATAAAGCGCACCCTCCTTGCAGTTTCACATTGCCTTCTCCACGCATCCTGTGCACGGGGCCCTGCGCAGGCCTTTTTGCGGGTCGCCGTGCTGTCGCCTGTGTCTGTGGTGCTCCTGCAGTGCATGGCACCGGTGCTTCCTTGAGCTGCTCCCCGTGCCAGGCCCACCTGGCCCCCTCCCAGGCTGCCTGTCCCGGGCTGGAGCCGGCCTGCCAGCCCCGGGGCTCTGTGCTGTAGAAACGGCAGCCCGGGGCTCCGCAGTGGCTTTCGGCAGCCTTGAGCATGTCTCTCTCCTAACCTGCAGGCCTTGCTCAGCACTGAGGCCGGCTCGCCAGGCTTTCCACCCAAGTGCTGTCCTCTTGCCACTGGAGAGTGGACAAGTAGGTTCACTCAGCCCCATTCTAGCTGTAGTTGTAATATCTGAATTGGTTTCTAGAGCTCAATTAGGGTAACTTCATGTTCAGTTTATGTAGTCACGAGTACTTCTCAGTCATACAGAGTAATGGGCTTTACCGTGGCACCTTCACCCACGCACACAGCACACTTGGACCTTCTCTGCCTCCCCTGACGTGGCCAGCGGGCTGCTGAGGCCTCGCCCTTACTGGCTCACATGTGAGGCTCCTCCGTCCCAGCATGGCCACTGGCTTCCCTGGGAACCTTTGTCCAGGCCCCTTCCAGAAGGGTTCCCTAAGTACAGAGTGTGCTGTCATTCGAGGAAGTAGGTTCTGCCCCACCATGGTGCAGTTTGAGGAATGTGATGCACCTGAATTTTTAGGAGCCATATTTTAAAATGACAAAAGTAGTTGAAATTTATTTCGATTTTTTAAAACTATATCCACATGTAGTCAGTTTTGAAAGTCACTAAGCATTTTGTGTGTGGAGCCGGACTGCAATCTGGTGTTGGTACTTTTCTTTGCAGTGTGTACTGGAGATTGAACCCAGTTCCTTCATACTGACGCCAAATCCCCAGCCCCACCCCACCCTTTTTCTGAGACAGGGTTTTGCCAAGTTGCTCAGACAGGGCTCAAACTTGAGGTCCTCCTGCCTCAGCCTCACAGAGGGGTAGGGTTACAGGTGTGCACCACCACACCCAGCTTGTTTGCACTTAGGGCATTTTAAGTTAGGACTCAGGTGCGTGGTCACTTTCTGTGGCTCTGAGGACAGGTGCACAGCTTACCCACACCCACACATGGAGTGGCTTGGAACAACGGGGGGGTAGTTGTTTTTTTGTTTTTATTTTCAGGCTGGTCTTGAACTCAGTATGTAGCCTAGGTTGGCCTTGAACTTGCAACAGTCCTCTGCCTCAGCCTCCCAAGTGCTGGGGTTACAGACATGCATGCCCACGCCCGGCCAGAGGGGACCATCCTGAGGCCCGTGGTGCACACAGGCTGTACCCGGGTGGGTATCCTGGGCAGCTGCTCCAGGCCTCACTAGCTCCTGGAGGGTACTGCAGGCCTCGGGTTGTGAACACCTCCCTCCAGCTCTGTCCCTGTCATCCTGTGGCCTCCTGTTCCAGACCTACCCTAATCCACTGTGACCTGGTCTGATTAATGACCTATGAGAAGACGCTGCTCTCAGGTCAGGCCACATTCAGAGGCTCTGGGTGGATGCAAGTTTCCAGAGGTCGCTGTGTAGCCCAGGCAGCCGCACAGTGCCTGGCTGGGACTGCCTCCCCTGTAGATCCCCACCCGCGTGCGTACGTGTGCACACACGCGTGGCAGCACAAGCACGCGTTTGCCTGAGCAGCACACAGCATATTCATCACCTTTTCCAGGCGGGCTTGTCTGAGTCTGCTGGGAGTCTCCTGGGGACATGTGTATGTGCCTGTGGGAACTTGCAGATCCCGGGGGGATCCTGCCGAGTCCTGCCCTGCGTGGGTTCCCCACACTGCGAGGGGCTCCCTCTGGGCAAGGAACCTGGAGGAGGTGCGTCCTCAGCCACTGAGCTTCCAGGCACTCCGTCTGCAGGCACTTACCGCACAGAGCCAAAAGGCCTCTTGTCTTTTGTCCAGCACAACACCATGGAGTCTTTGTTGGAGCGAGGCGAAAAGCTCGACGACTTAGTGTCCAAATCGGAAGTCCTGGGAACACAGTCCAAAGCCTTCTATAAAACTGTGAGTAGCTGTGGCCTGGCCCTCCTGGCTTCCCTTCCCTTAGCAGGTCGTGGGGGCATGGGAGCCCAAGGCAGGTCCCCGCCCACCCCTAGTATTAGTTTGCACATATGGGGATCCTGTCTGCCCCAGTGGCTGTGGCTGCGGTTGGGTAGTTTCTGAAGCCCGCCCCCTAGCACATGCTGGTTCCAGGCTGAGCACAGATGTTTGTCCCCGCCCTCTCATCTTAAGTAGTTAGTGCTGAGTCCTTAAGAAGCCAGCAGTGTGCCTTCCTGCACTCTGGCCTCCTCAGCCGCTGGCTCCTTTCCCTCCACTGTCTGGAGGGCTCCCACTGGCTGCCTCCTCACTGATGGACTCTTGCCTTGGGTTGGGTGGCAGTGGAGGCAGCAGCCCTGGACTGCACACGCTTGTATGCCTCTTGGAGGGATGGAGCCCAGCGGAATGAGGAGAGGGCTGACAGCTGCACCTGCGGATGCGAGCAGGGACCCTGGCCTCCGCCGCCTCCAGGGTTAGGGAGGGCCAGGAGTTGGGCTGCTAAGACTGTCAGCCAATCTGGTTTGCATTCTTGATGCCTCACTTGAATGTGAATCCACAAGTGGGCTGCAAAGGAAGGCCAGGACCCAGACCAGCAGTGTCAGCTGTGTGGTAGGCTCTCCTGCGTCTCCGTCTCCTCCTCAGCCTCTGTGCACTTCTGGTTTCTCTGTCCAGTTACCTCACCAGATGCCACACCAATGCCTGCCTCGGTGGAACCTGCCTGCCTCAGCCCCTTCACTCCTATTTCTTTCTTTTAAGGCTCGGAAACAAAACTCCTGCTGTGCAGTCATGTGACGCAGCCCCCGGGGGCGGCCACCAACCATCACTGCTCACTGGGGTCAGGACTGCAGCCGCTGGAGAAGAGGAGCCCCCCAGGGGCCGGCGCACTGTTCGTTTTTATTCTAAGTTCCCAGGAGGAACTGAGGGATGGTGGAAGGGTGGGGAACGTCCAAGTTCATATGTCTGTTGTGACTTTTGCAAAGAATTGGAGCCCCCAAAGGTGTATTTTTAGGAAAATGAAATTATAAACTCTGAGCGGCTCCTGTAGATGCTGATGGGTGCGTTCCTGCCTCCCATAGGCCCCTGGGAGGCAGTTTGGAGCTGGCCCTGGTGTCCTCGGCAGACGCCTTTGGGCCTTATCTGTGCGTATTAACTCGAATGGGCGACAGGTCGGGCTGAGCAGAGCCGGGTGGGGTGAGGCTGCTTGTGAGCCTGTGGTTCCCGCCCAAGCCCGTAGGGGGCACCGGTGACCAGGTCCTCACACTTTGCCTCCAGGTGCGTCCTTTCTCCTTTGGGATTCACTTTGTGAGGGTAAGGCCCATCCTGGGCGTCTTCCACCCACTGCTCCAAAGGGCTTGGAAGGGGCTGGGGTGGGCATGTGGCAGGCTGGGGACAGATCCAGCAAAGGGTCCAGCTGTCAGATGGGAGTGTTGGCCTCTGGGGAAGATGTAGACACAGGTGCCCTCTGCTGCTCAGAATGGGGCACCCCCTAGCTGTGACCAGGGTGACTTTGGTTATCAGGATCCAGGTGGTGGGTGCTGTACTCTCAAAATGTCTGTGTGTCCCATTGGCTACGAGACCGGGGGCTGCCTGCAGCCTGTGCTCATGGGCAAGTCTATCCGGTGGCATCAGCAGGAAGTGCCAGAGCCCAAATGAAGTCGGAGCACCTCGGCCCTGAGGCCGGCCCTGGAGCCCCACTGCGGAGGTGCTGGGTCCCAGCCTCCTCTCCATGCCTGGCTGTGCCCGAGGTGCCTGCATATGTGTCTTCCCCATGGAAGCCCCCACCCTGACCACTCTGCTGCCCCTTTTCTCTGGCCTCTCATCTGGACTGGCCTACAGTTGCCCCCCCACCGCCGCATGCTGGCACCTGAGCTGAAGTGAGGGACCGGGACCCTGAAGGAGCAGGAAGGAGGGGCACCAGAGAGACAGGTGGAGGGCGCTTGGGCATCTGGGGGAGAGAAGGGGAGACCGTCAGCATCTCCCTGCTGCCTGTTGTAGTCTAATGTCCAGTCATTTGGCAAGAATGTGTGTTAATAACTGCCACCTAACTCTCTGTGTCCTGTGTGAGAGGTTCCTGTCTGGATAAAGGTTTTTTGAGATTCCAAAGTGGTCCTGTGCTTGTTTGTCCTGGGGGCTGGGGGACATGTACTGCAGGGCCTGGATCTGTTGGGGTGCTGCTCAGCTGGCCTCCCTTCTTGCTGTTCGCCAGACGAGGGTGCCCTTGAGCACAGGCCTAGCTGCAGCCTGGGAAGCTGCTTCAGCTAGAGCTGGGAGACCCTGCTGCCGCCTGGGCTCTGGGGGTGGGGGCCTCAGGTCACCTGGCTTCTGCTAGGCAGTTGGGAACCTGTGCAGACACGTGAGCAGAGCTGACATCTGCAGGGAGTCTGCTCAAGTCCAGGGCGCAGCTTCTGCAGCTGGTGGTAGAGTCTGGCGTCCCAGCAGGTGGCTGGGCTTGTGATTTTTGTGGCCAGAGACCCCTTCTGCCTGGCCTAAAGGCAACCCTGGATCCATGTGACAGGACCTGATGGAGCTCAGGGTGACCTGAACCTTCTTGGGGTGATAAAGTGGGTGCAGTTTAAAGTGATAAGTGAGATCCACTCACCGGTGCCCAGTGCTTAGCCCTGCAGGGTGGTCAGCCCTGGCGCTGTCCCGAGCCTCACCAGGCCACCCTGCCAGCATGCAGAGGGACCTCAGGAATAATGCATGTTGGAGGCCCTGCCGCCACAGCCTTCCTGAGGGAGCCCTGGCCTGGAAAGTCTCTGATTACAGCTGATAGGCGAGTAGAGCCCTAGATCTGGTCTCTGTCACCGCTGTGTCTGTGGGCACTGACCTAGATTCTCTGCACCAGCCCTTGGGATCTGCCACCCACCCGCCAAGTCCATGAGAGCACGCATTCGGGTGTGCCTCCCAGCGCCTGAGACACTGGCCTTAAGGGCCTCCTCCCTGAGCCAAGGTGGCTCTAACCGGGTGCAGGGGATGGAGGAGACAGCTGGGAGCTTTGGCCAGTTTTGGGGTTCCCTTGGGACCCCCAGCTCTTGGCAGATACCGATGATGCAGGGACGTTCACCTTGCCAGGGGTTACCTGGACCCGAGGCATAAGGCACGGTGCGGTGACAGCCCTGGGACGCAGTGCAGGGTGTGGAGTTCGGCCGCTCTGAGCAGGAAGAGGCCAGGGATGCCAGCTTGTGGGATGGTGTCGAGGCTGCAGAAGGACCCAGGGGCCTCAGGTAGCACAGGTGGAGGCTGGCATTCCCAAGGAAAACTTCATGCCCAGGCAGCAGGGCACAGTGGGCAGCTGGGGGACATCTGGGTGGGCAGAACCCAAGGAGAGGACAGGGCTCGTGTCCCTGACTAAGAAAGGATTCTGTCCCACTGTGGGCTGGAGATTTAGGGGCCTGGGGAGAGCCTTTTACCTTGCCCAGTAGCAGGCCACGGTGACCTGCAGCCCAGGCAGCTCCTGGCCCTGCCCCAAACCCTGGGCCAAGATCCAGACTTGGCCCTGTGTGAAGCCTCGTGACTCTCACAGGATGGGGACCCTCAGGTCGTGGTCCTGAGGTTTCTTCCCCACACAGCCTGCTCTTCCTGGCTTTTATTGGCCTGTGGGTGACTGCAGGGATCCCAGTACTGGTGCTGGAGGCTGTTCAGCATCCCAGGTGGACAGCACAGGGCCCAGAGACTTGGGAACATCAGAGAGCAGTGGGGACAACAGGTGGGACTCTGAATTCTCTACCCACCACCGCATCTGGCCAGCAAGCAGCAGTGGCTCTGTGTTTTGGGATAGGAGATTGGCAGGGTCCCAGTACAAAGTACCCAACTGCACTTTAAGCAGTTTGTCCTGTTTTTCTTTTATTTGCAGTTTCCCGAGACAGAACAAAATAAGAATAATTTTTGTACACCTACAAGGCTCAGAAAGAAAAGACAATGAAACTCAGCAAAAAGAGAAGAGGGAGGGCCACCAGCACCGTGGGCCGTGACACCCTGCAGCGCTGGCCAGCGGTGACACCACCACCTGCAAACACCTAGCTAGCAGAGCAGGCATGGCCTACTCTTTGGAGAGGGTCATGCAAAAGAACTATCCCCCAGAAAAAAGTCCCAAATGATCCCAGACAGGCAGCTCCGTAGAGATAACAAGGGGAATGAGAGAGGAAGGGAGGAGGCCCCAGGACACCAGGGTGGCCAGCTGTGGGGCTACAGTGCCGTCCGTGGTGAGCCCTGCTGTGGTCCGTGGCCTGGAGCCCATTGTGTGGAGCCTGGCAGATGTTTACCCTGTGTCCATGGATGGAGACAGCTGTCCCAGACACAGTGCGGACAGAAGGTGGCGTCCACTCTGAGTGTCCGTGGTGGACAGTCCCCTTGAAATTTGGAATTCTGTGTCCTGTTCCCCACTCTGTGCCCCTCCCCTGCCTTGATTTGTGGGGGAAGATAAAGAAAATCCTTGTGGAAAACGACATGAATTGAAGGTGGGCAGCACTGGGGTAGAGGCCCCTGACCATCCCCACTGCTGCCCTCACACTCTGTCCCCAGCTTCACCACAGTGCCTCACATCACGAAGGGCTGGACCGCCACCATCCTGGGGGCAGCACACTGTCCCCACAGACCTGCCCTCCACTTGCTGGTGTCCCCATCCCCAGATGGCCTCCTCTCCAGCCCTCCTCGCACCGGGATGGCTCCTACCTCTGCCTCTGCTCTAGGTCCAGGTCACAAGAGCACTCCATCAAACAGCTCCTATAGATTCTGGGCCCCCACCTTCCCTGCCTGTGCCACTCGCTGTGTCAGCCAGCCCTGAGCACACATGAAGCTCCCAAGCTCAGCTGGCAAACACCCCAGAGGCAGTTGGCCTGTCCCACGTCTGTTGTGGTGGGATCTGCTCCCAGCTACACAGGGACAACCTCTGTGACTGCTGCTGGCTGGCAGGGAAGGAACAGGTGTCCCAAGCAGGAGGGCCCAGCCCCAACCAAGTCCTCTTCTTCAGCAGGGCAGGTTGGAGCTGCAGCCAACGCATTCTCTCAGGCAGTGTGCCTGTCCACACCTCAGTCCCGAGGACCAGTGCCAGGGCCTGGGGCTCGGGGCTCCTCTGCTGGCCTGCGGGATGGCCGTCTCCTGCACGCTTCAGGGACCAGCGGCCGTGCATACTGGGTGGTGGGTCCACGGCTCTGGAAGCCCACAGCAGCCCTTCTGGAGGGAAGGGATGGCAAAGCAAGGACAGGAGCAGCCGGCGGCCCGCAGCCCTCCCAAGACACCTGACATCACAACAGCGAGGCGAGCACACGCAGGGGCATGCGCAGGCGGGAGGATGCAGACGCCCAGGGTACAGGGCGAGCGCGATACCTACAGACTAACACCGTTCAGCACGCGTGGGGCCTGGCAGCTCCTCACGCCCGGGCATCCCCGTGGCCAGGAGCACAAGGAACGCACGTGGAGCTTGGATGGGGGCAGCCCCACAAATGCCAGATTTGTACAGCTTTTTCCTTTTAGATTGTTTTTTTTTTTTCCCATTTCATCTGATGTCAGTGTGTGTGTGTGTGTGTGTGTGTGTGTGTGTGTGTGGTTGTCGTTGTCTTCATCATTTTTTTTTTTTTAAAAACAAATCACATCTGGTCTTGTTTTTCTGCAGACACAGGCACCGGGGGAGGGGACCAGGCGACACAAACATGCGACAGGCAGGCCGTGGCCAAGGCGGCCGGGCTGCAGACACCGACTCTGTCCAGCGAGACCAGGCGCCACTCTGAAATGGGTAGAGGACACTCCTCAGCACCCCAGCCCCCAGCTTGGCTGCTGCGGTGTGGCCCTGCAGCCCCTGCCCGCCCCACCACGGCCCTGGCTCACCTCACTGCAGTGGGGCCACGGGCGCGCCCGAGCAGTGGAAGTGCACGTTCTGCCACTTGCCCTCGCGGCGGTGCCACACCCGTGTCTCCTCAGACTGGCTGGTGCGGGGCCGGCCCTGGCCGTCGATGTACTGCGTGAGGCGGATGTAGGCGATGCAGGCCGCATCCTCACCAATGACGTGCACGTGGGGGTTCAGGATGGTCGTGTGGATCGGCTTGCTGTTCTTGGCCAGCACTGTGGATGGTGGGGCTTGGCATCGAGGATCTGCACGTGGATGCCACCACACACCCTCCTCGCACACACCCAGGTGTGTCACCCACACGGCCACCCTGCTCCCCACTCACGGTTCTCGAAGTAGAATCTGTGGAAGTCCATGCCTTCGACCAGGTTGCCCAAAGCTTCAGGCTCAAAGGAGGTGAGGCCGGGGTCACAAATTTTCCTGGGGGGCAAACCCAAGTGAGGAGGGGCACGCGCCCCACCCGCACCCCACACAGGGCCCGTCAGCCCCGGGAACTCACGCGTAGGCCTCGAAGTCGCCGTTGTTGACAGCCTCGATGAGCTGCTCCGTGGTCTTGATGATTTCCTGCTTCCGGGCTGTGGGGAGGGGAGGGAGTGACCACCGGGCACCGGCCTGCCACCCTGAACAGTGTCCCCCGCTCCTGCTCTTCCTCTCTAGAAATGACCACCTGGGCCCTGACACCTGTGCCCCCACTGTCCCCATCACCTGCTCTCTCCTTCCCCATTTCTAAGTGCATCAGCTGCTACCTTGTTTCTCTCAAGATGTTTTGAAATGACAGAACTACTCCACCCAGCTTAGAGAATGTCTGGAAAATGCAGGAATAGCAGGAAAAGCCTGTGGTCACCACCACCCTCACCCACCTGCCCACCCCAGCCCTCCTGCCACTCCTGTGGCCTCCACTGCAGTGCCCACCACTCCTGGGGCCTCTGGCTGGGCCCTGCTTACTTCACACCCCCTTTCTTCACCATGGGGAGGTACAAGGGCCAGCACCAGGCCAGAAAGAGCCATGAAGAGGCTCAAGCAGGCCCGCAGGGTCCCGTGTGGGGGTTCCACTGAGCAAAGGCTGGGGCCAGCGGCCCAGGCTCTGCCACTGAAAGAGCAAGTACTGTCCCCCAACCCCCAACTTGTTTCTCAGACACACAGCACTGCCACCATCTGCAGACCCTTCCACAGCAACTGTCCTCCATGTCAGGGCCAGGGCTGCTCTGAGTGCCAGCCCATGGCCTGCCGCAGGCTCAGGGCCTCCAGGGCCATGCTGGAGGCCCTGTTTGCTGCTTTAGTGACAATTTATTGCAACTGAGAATACACATATGGAAAGGCTGTCCCTCGCCTTCGTGCAGTGCCTCAGGGCTCTCAGGCACTTGTGCCCCTAGTTTTCCTCCCATGAGGGGGGCTGGGATTCAACAGTGGGGGTGCACTGCAGAGATCTGACGGTGGCAGGGGCACCCATCTGCCTGTGCGCGTGAGCTGCACCCATTCTGGTGTCTGCAGAGCTGGGCATAAGGCAGGAGTTGTCCAGTGGCGGTTTCAGGAGCTGGGTGCATCGCGTGTGCACATGCACAAGTGCTTGTGCACAAGTTTGTACATAGCACTCTCAAATATGTGTGCACACATGCACGTGTACACAGACCATATGGGTATAGTAAGTGTCGTGTGTACACATATGCCGTGCACGTGTGTGTGGACACTAGCGCTGTGCACACGTGCATGCATGTCTGTGCATAACTGCATGTGAGTGTGGTGTCCACCATCGTGTGCGCACATGTCTACAGCTGTGTGTGTGTGACTGCGTGTGCACACATGGCTGCCGCTCTCCTGGAAAGGCCTCTCTCCTGACCCTGCTGCCCTGTGTACCATGCTATTTCTGTTTCAAGCTTCACCCTGAGATCACACCATGTCACAGTTTGCGTTCAGGGCCATCATCTCAGGGCCAACACTTGGCGCTGGGACCCACATGAGCTTTAGGAGGTGGCTGTGAGCTCCAGCCCCAGCCCCCAGGTCCTGCTCCAGCCCCACACCAGAGCCCAGCGCAGGCACCTTCCCAGGGTCCTCCCTAAATGTGCAGCATCCCGTGCTGACCCTTCAGGCCCAGGACGGTGCCCACACCTGCCCCAGCTGCCCTGGCACCTCATGTCTCCCGCTCCTACTCTTTCCTGGGCGGCTGAGATCCACTGGGCTGGCCTCTGTGCCCTGCAGCCAGCGCCTCCCCCCGGGCCCTCTGCCCTCCTGTGTTCCCCTCTACTGGATGCTCTTTGCACATAGAACATGCCAGAACTGAGCAACATCGCTTGTATTTCTAGCAGGCTTTGACTCTACGCTCGCCTGTGGTCAGTGAACTGACTTCCCATTTAATGAACTAATACTAATTTGAAATAAACTGTAGTTAAAAAATGGAAAATAGCATGAAGTAAACACAGTGGTCAGAGGCTGTGACTGCTGGGGCCTGGAGAACCGGGCGTGGTGACCATGGCCTGCTGGCTCCCTCTGCAGCTAGGGAAAGTGGGCACTGCCTAAGAGTGGCCCTGGTCACCTCCTGTCTGCAGCGTGGCTGCTGCCCAGCACTCAGCGTGACCCAGCTCCTGCTCTGCCTTCCCAGAATGCATGTAGGTGCTTTTGTGCCCTCAGCATCCAGGTACCACAGGGAGGGGGCAGGGAGGCTAGCACCACAGGGCACCCAGGCCTGGCTGGGGTGCTGAGCTGAGGATGAGCTGTGTCCCTACCGCTCAGCGTTTTCTCTGAGAAAATGCTAAAGGGGGAACACGGGAGAGCTGAACTGGCTTCACTATGTCTGGGGGGGTGTCTGGCTGTGGGGGCCCAGGGCCCAGGTGGCCAGCGCTGTGCTGGCCCTGGCTGCCCACAGCCCCGTCCTTCAGGGCCACTGCAGCCGCGTGAGGCAGGGCGGCTGCCCAGGATCAGCCTGGATCAGCTGGGATCACACATAATCCCTGATTAGTGGGCAGAGCGGGTAAGGCTGCAGCCTGAGGTAGGGGTACCTTCTCAGGAAGGGGGGGTGACCCACAGGCCACCTGCTGATGGATAGAGCAGCCACGGTACCCGCTCTCCCAAAGCCTGACAGGGTATCCCTCATCCACCCTGCCCAGCTCCAAGACAGCCACATAAAACCCCCTACCGACCCACACACAGCCCCTCCTACAGCTCTGCTGCCCCTTGTCAAGCTTAAGACAGACTGTTTGGTGGCCTGGCCATGCCGTGTCCCCTGCAGGTCCTGCCCCACAGCACCTACCCACCCAGCCCTCAGGAAGGGCAGCAGGGCCCCTTGAAATCAGATGAGACTTTGGACCCCAGGAAGGGGGCGCCAACTCCGGAACCCCAGGTGCATTCCCTCCCGGCCTCAAGGGCGCTACTGCCGGCCTCCAGACCCCATCACCAGCAGCAGCAACCCGGTCTCCTCTCAGCACCACCAACCCAGCAGCAGACCGTGGATACTTGTGGGGTTCAGGTCCCTTTGGAGGCTGCACCCTATGGCATGGACCCCACCCTCTGGGCCCCAGTCACCATACTCACCCAGCCATTGCCCTGCCATCCCGAGCCCCTGGCCAGGCGCCCTCTCCTGTGACAGCATCTTAGCGCCACCCCCAGCCCGTATCTCCCCCCAGGTGGGGGTGGCGGCTGCAGCCTGGGATGTCATCCATCCCTGTAAGTGATACTGGCTGTCCCACCTGCGCCTGTCTCTCCTGCCTGCCCAGAGCCCTGGCTGCCCCCCAAGTCTGCACCCCAAAGTCCACCCAGCAAAGCCAGGACACCAGAGCTCAAAGCCAGGACTACATCCCCCTTCCTGTCTGCTGTCTGGGAAGACCTGTGCACAGCCAGCTACCCTCACCCTCCAGGCACAGCTGTGGCCCCAGGGCAGGCGCTTGTACTCTAGGACAGCGGCCAGCACAGGCCCACACCCACGCACATGCCCTCCACCACTGTAATCTGCACCTCCGGAGACCAGATGGCCCCTTCCTGTGCTTCCGGCAGAGGGACTGGGGCCTGAGCCAGCCTGGTGCCGCGCCCTTGTGGCCCCTCCGAGCAGCTTACTTACACGGGGCTGGCAGGGACCCGGGGAGAGTCGGAGATGGACAGGGTGGGGGTCCCACTGGCAGGGGGCCCTCGGCTTCTGGGGTCCCTGAGCCCCGCCTCACTGAGTTGAGGATGTCAGATATCCTGGGGGCTGGGTGGAACAGACAGATGTGAACACAGAGGGGGCACATCCTGGGGAGAATCTATAGTCTGGGAGCCAAGCCAGAAATGGGGGAACTAGGAGGACAGGGGGGCAAAGGAGGGGGACACACAGGGCTTGAGGGTAAAGGAGGGGTCTTGGAGGACAGAAGGGGATAGGGGACATGGAAGGAATGTGGGGTTATGGAAGGAGTAGAATTGAGGGGACACAGAAGGAAGGAGGGGTTACATGGGGATAGAGGGGTCACAGAGGATAGAGGTCATGGGGAATGGAGGGGGACAGAGGGGCATGGGCATATGGACAAAGGCAAATGGATGGACTATGGGAAGGGGACCATGGACAAGAGGGCAGGGTAGAAGGGAGCACAGGGCAAACATGGGGGCACAGGGGATGGAGGAGACACATAGGATGGGGTGGCAGATGAGCACAGGCGAGGCCACGGAGGATGCTGGCAGCCTGAGGGACATGGGCAGTGCACCAGGATGGAGGCTCAGCCCTGTCTTTTGCTGGCAGAGCTGAAGCCATGTGGGCATAGGTCCCCTCCTAGGAGAGCAGCCTGGGTGGCGAGAAGCCAGGGAACACTGCGTGGGGACAGGGCTCAGAGCGCTGGACAGGGAGCAGAGGTGGGCTTGAGGGAAGGACATCAGAGTGAAAGCGTGGCTCAGCCACGTAGGCAGGCCTGGTCGGTGGAAGGAAGCCTAGTCCCTGAGCCCCTGGGACCATGGTTGGGGTCACAGCTCCATCACCTCCCTGGCCCCCACCCCCACCAACTATGGGAGTGTTGCTCAGGGCTTGGGCCATGTGGGGACCAGAGGCAGCCCTGGGAGCAGGTTCCAGGGTGCTGTGACCTCAACAGCGTGTCTGGGTGCGTGGTCAAGGGGCTAGCGACTCTCCAGCAATGTGGCTGGAGGGGCCCAAAGGGGACAGGCCGGCTGCCCAGGTGTGGGGAGGTCATAAGCCAGGGGTGGCAGGAGGTAGGCAGCGTGCAGTGGGCAGCGGGAGGGCAGGTGGGAGCTGAGGCTGGTGGCATGATCAGGCGCCTCGCCCGCAGGGAGCTGTGCACACGGCCATTGCAGCGAGCCTGGTGGAGGGACAGCAGGCTGGGCACTGCTACTTACACGGGGTGGGCAGGGGGCCTAGGAGAACCGGAGACAGGCAGGGCGGGGGCCCCGCAGAGAGGGGGCCCTCGGCTTCTGGGGTTCCTGAGCCCCTTCTCACGGAGCTCAGGATGTCAGAGATCCTGGGGGCTGGGGCGGAACAGACAATACATGAGCAGAAGACAGACAGACAGATGAGGAGGTGGCAGAGCCAACAGAAGGACAGGAGGGGCCCAGTGACCATGCAGCCAAGGGCGTCTTTCAGGGCTCTGGGACAGCCCAGCAGCCTGGGCAGGAAGGAGGCAGGCAGGCAGCCAGGGGGCAGAGGCAGCCTTGTGGGTCCACCGGGGCCCAGAGTGTGCAGTGGGGGGTGGGGCCGGAGCCAGCAGCCCACACTTGCCCAGCCTGGCTCTCGAGTGCCCTCTCAGAGTGTGGCCAGGTCCTCCCAAGTGACTCCCATGGCAGCAGGGCTGCAGCTACTTGTGTGGGGTCAGCAGAGGTTGAGGGGAATTGGTTGGCAGGGCAGGGGCCCCACCTCACCGAGTTCAGGATATCAGGGCTACCGGGGCTAGGGCAGAAGAGCAGCAGACGGTGGGCAATGGGCACTCAGGAGGGATGGTAGGAGCTGGCTGGGGCAGAAAGGGCAGAAGGGAGGTTAGAGCTGCAGAAGCCTAGGCCACCAGGAGGCTGGAAGACGGGGACAAGGCCACCGCCTGGGGCCATCCTCAGAGTCAGGAGAGCTGCCTGAGAGCAGGCCAGGCAGTGGGAGTGATAGTCGCCATGGCCTGACAGCTGCTGGACCCAGATGGACCTGCCCTGTGCAGAGCAAGTCCCTGTCCACAACCCTGCTGTCTCTGGGGCACCTGGAAGACACCTCCTTGCCTGTGCCAGGGCCCAGGGCCCTGCAGCATCCACGCTGTCCAGTGGGGATACTGGGGACAGCATCACAGCTGGGGAGCAGGGGGAGGAGCATGGCCCATCCGACTTGCCCTGAAGGCAGCGTAGCACCTAAGTGGCAGCCAGATGCAGGTGGCTGGAGGCCAGATGCCCCAACTCAGAAGAGGAGGTGGCCGACAGGCTGGGGGAACCACTTGCTTATGTTTGGTCCCTGGGGGCTTTGGGGAGGTCACTGGTGGCTCAGTGTGCAGCCGGGTTGGTAAGAAGCCTGCGGCAGGATGGATGTGTGGAGGCAGGGTCAGCTGCCCATTCACTTGCCCGGTGGGCAGAGTTAGAGCTTAAGAAGCTAGAGAAGGACTCGATGCTGAGCAAGCTCCGTCCGTCCACACGCTCAGGCTGGAGCAGAGAGCAGATCTCACTGCACAGCCATGGCTTCTTCCCTGGAATACGGCATAGCCCCTGCCTCTGAGCCACCACACGCGTCCCCACAGCATGGAGACTCCTGCCCCCAGGCGCGGCCCAGCAGGTACCTTTGGCGTCCTCATCCTCCATGGTTGTGTTGGTACTGTCCGAAGACTCCTGAGGAGACAGGGAGGTGGGGGTCAGGACATGGCCCAGATCAGCAGGGTGCAGCCGGCCACAGAACCAGCCCCATTGCTCCAGTGGGGCTCAGGGACAGGCCCTGCCACAACAGGACTCCAGCCTGGTAGTCCACACAGGCTGGGACTGGAAGAGAAGGGCGCCCAGGGCCCATCATGCCCCCACATGGCGTCCATTTCCCCAAGATCCAGGGGCTCAGCGCCTTCTCCACTGAGAGGAGCTACTTATCCTATGACCCCAAATGCAGTGGGCTTTGGAGCGGCCAGAGCCCTGCGCCTCTGGAGGACAGGGAGGGCTGCTTTGGGTAGGGCCTCTCAGGGTCCACCTGCACTCGTGTCCTCTCTCCCAGAAGAGCTGAGATCCTTCGGCCAGGCTTGTTTAGAGAAGAGCACCCGTGTGCCCCCGAGGCCTTGCTCCCTCCTTGAGGGAGCAACTTCTCATGTCCCTGAAGGACTAAGCCTTGGTCTGAACCCCAACTGGACTCTGCTACGGGCCCAGGTCAAAAGTGGGGTCTTCACATATGGGGTGAGCCCCAACCTTGGGGGATACCTGGGGCCCCCTCATGGAAGACATGACTCCATCCAGACACACAGGGCCCAAGGGATGCCTGGCACGTGGACAGGAGGAACCAGGCCTTTAGGGCCCAGTGCTGCGGGTCCCCACTGGCCCTGATTTCCACCTTGAAAAAGGTGTCCTCTGATGACAGCCGGGGCAAGGCCCTGGCCAGACAGAAGGGGCCTCTGGAGGCGCTGTGGGCACTCAGTGGGGGGCCAGGCGCCAGGCCTGATCTGCCTGCCCTGCATGACCACATCCTGGAAAAGCCTGGCCTCTGCCATCCCGCCCAGCGCCACCAAGAGCCAGCCCCGCCCTGGCCCCGAGATGATGCCGATGTGATGACAGCAGATGGCACAGCAGAGAGAGCAGGGGGGTCCGCTCAGCAGAAAGCGCTGGGGCCACACAAGGGGCTAGGGAAGGAGGGCAGCAGAAGTGGGGGATGCTGTCCCCAAGAAGTGGACCAGCCCCAGCATCAGGGCACCCTGGAGCCCAGTCGAGAGCCGCCCATGACATGGTGCAGCTGTGGGAGTTTGTCTCCTGACATGTGTGTCCTGCTGTCACCGCACACCTGCCCTCCACTCTGAGCACAAGGGCCGCCCTGGGCCACCATCCAGACCCTCATCCTGGGCCCGGCGCCTCCTGCCCAAGGAAGGGGGAGGAGGAGAGAGCGGCGCAGTACCTTAATCCCGTCCACTGGGTTATGGATAACGGTGGTTTGAGGCTCCTACAGAAGGCGGCAGACAGAGGAAGGAAAGACGGAGAGTGAGAAAGAAGGAAGCAGGGGAGGGGAGCCAGGGAGACAGAGGAGGAACGGGCGGAGGCCAGAGTCTACCAGAGAGAGTGCAGAGCAGAGGGAACAGGGATGGAGGCGGCAGGTGGTCAGCAGGATGGCCCGAGAGGGATGGAGGAGCAGAGGTCAGCAATGGCCCTCGGGGCAGAGGGGCAGGTGGGTGGAACCACAGACCGCCCCAGGCTGAGCTGGTGCCCACCGGCCTGCGCACCCGGAGGACAGAATTTGGGGCAGCTCAGAGCTTGCCCCACTGTGTGCCTAGGCCCTGTCCAGCAGGGAACACAGGCTTGGAGATGTCATGGAGTGGGTGTGGCTCGTGGATGACAGAGTCCGCGGTGGGGCTGGCTGTGAGGCACCCTCCTGCCACAGCCTGCTGCTCCAGTGGGCTCGGCTGCCTCCTGGAAGCCAGCTGGACTCCAAGGGGACACCAAGCACACTTCTGTCAAACCTCACACACCCAGGACAGCTGCAGGGCACTCAGGTGACACATCAACAGGTGGTGCTCCCCTGCACACAGCACCCAGGGCCAGTGGCCTACAGCTGGCCAGGTACACTGGGGTGCGGGAGGGGCATTGCGGTGCCCCTCCTCTCCCTGGCAGAGGGCCCCTGAGCCCAGCAGGGCTTGCCACAGCTCTGATGGCCCTGGCTCCCTGCCTGGGCTGCTGCTTAGAAAGCCACCCCACACCACCTAGCCCTTCTTCCTGCACGCAGGGCTGCGACACCACAACACCCTAAAGCCCAGCCTGGCCCCTGCAGGCCAGGGATGAGGTCCCTGGGGGACTGGGAGCCCCCCTTGTTCCTGCCTTCCACCTCCAGAAGCCTCTAGCTGCATTCTTGCAGGGTGACCCACACGAGCGTGAGGAGAGAGGCCAGGCTCCAGAGAGAGGCTTCCCAAGTCCTGCACCTGCCCGATCCTGGGTGATAGAGCCTCTCCCCTCTGGGAATACAGCCCCCACCCGTGGGCCCCAGCATGGTGGACACTGGGGACAGTCTCTCTGACAGAGGGATGTGCGAGGGGCCAGGGCTGTGGGCTCCGTACCAGGGCGGCAGGAGGGAGCGTCCCTTTGGGGCTGGTGATGGCCGAACTGTTTTTGGTGCTGTTTGTCTGGGGCTGTGGAGAGACGAGGAGTGGTTAGGGCAGAAGGGGCACCCGCCCCTCCCAGGCTGGCCAGGCGCAGAGCTGCAGGGCCTCACCTTGACTCCGTCTGCCTTCTTGTTGAGCAAACTCTTGGCTGCTGCATGGGGAGGGAAGGAGGCACCTGAGCGGTGGGCCTGGGCTCCCTGCAGCCCCAACCCCCACCCACCTCAGCTCTTTCCCAGGGGAGCTCCAGACCCCAAGGCAGCTGTGCCTTAGCTCCAGCCTGGCCCAGAGCAGCAACAGGACCTGGCAGGGGACGGCACAGGCTGCCCAGGGTCCCTTGCCCCAGCACTGGCCCCCCACATCGTCTTCTGCAGCCCCAGGGCTCCACAGGGCACCAAGGAATCATCAAGCCCTGGCTGCCGCGGTCACACAGAGAGCCCCATCCCAGCCAGATGTCCCGACCAGCCGGGACTGTGGCCTTTGCACCAGTGGCCCTCATCCCACTGTCCTCCTGAGCTGTCTGGCACCTGGCTGGCAGGCCATTTCTTGGTGGCAATGCCAAATTCCCAGGATACCCGGCCCAACGGGTGGTCCCTGGCACCCCAGGAGTCCCGTTAGAGGTCTGAGGGGCCTGGCTCTGTTTGTCCGCCATCCCCAGAACCTACACCCTTCACGGCACAGGTTAGAATTTTAATTACAGAAAAGAAAAGAGGAAGCCAGCTTACCTTACAGAAAAGGAAAGGTTGAAGAAGGGAAAGAGAGGAAGAGAGAAAACAAGATTTGTTGGTTGGGCAGGCATTCACCCCGGGCAGCGAAGCCAGCCCGTCCTGGCCCCGCACGTAGGCACAGCAGGTGAGAGAAGCGGCAGGGGCTGGCGCGGCACAGGGCAGTGTGACGGTGGGGTTCCTCACCCCCAGGCCCAGGAAGTCCCCTGCCCACCAGCTCCACATGTGACTTTGGGCCATCCTGCCTGCCACCCCAGGGCAGGCCTGTGTGGTAATGGGGGCAGATGGGCACATTCAGACCCGGGCTGCTGTTCTCAAACAGGTTCTCGTCCAGGTGGAGCAGTCAGAGATGCCAACCCCCAGCCACCCAGATCCCTCAGATCAGGACCCAAGTAGGGGGGGCTGAACCCCCCTCCTAAAATCCCAGGGTCCCCCTGATGCTCATCTGCAGCAGGATGGGCAGGAGCCCATGGAGGCTGGCTCCTTTCAGACGCCAGGCCTGGGCTCTTCCACTGCCTGCCACTCACCACCCTCCCTGCCACGTGACTGTGGCCAGCCCCTCCCACTCTGCATGTGAGGCCTGGGGACCCCAAAGGTGGGCACAGCCCTGGGCAGGGCATACTACTCTGCTCAGCCCCCCTGCTTCTCCAATCCACTGAATCCAGAGCCCAGGGGTGGCTCCAGGGCCCACAGACTTAACCCCAAACCTGACTCCTAGGGTCTCCTCTGCATTTCATGGTCTAATGCCCCGGGCAGCCCTGTGTGTGGTTCCCACTGCCCTGCGGCCAGAGTACCCAACTCCTCCCTCTCTGTTAGACTCTGTGTACCCCACTTGGGGACAGGCCAGTCCCAGCCAGGCACTGCCTCTCTGTGCAACCCAGCCTCCCTGCCATCCCCCTGTTCTAACACACAGCCCCCACCCCAGGGCCTAAGGAGAGAGACACCCATCCCTGTCCTGAGGACCTTGTCACCAGGAGCTGGGCATCAGGGAGGATCTCTGTCCTCTGCAGGGACACAGACTTCAACAATGTGGCAATTCCCCATGGGAAGCTTACACCAGGGACCCCACCTACTGCCCTGGGGCCCCACACATTTCCAGCTGGCATCTGCATAGGGGCCGGCACAGACAGAACTGGTCCAAGACCAAGCCAGGCAATACAGCACCTCCCACTGCCCTGTTGGCCAGGGCGACTTCAGGACTGTCTTCTACCTTAACAAGGTCCTATGTAGGACCCCAGGTTTGTTAGAGCCCAAATTTCAAAGCCGTGTTACTGGAGGCATTAAGAAGTTTTCCACGGGAAGTAAAAAGATGGACTTCCTGGAGGACTCAGATAGGCCACAGTGTGGCCCAGGCCCAGGCAGACAACTGCCACATAACTTCCTCCCTGTGAACCCTGGTGTATGCCAGCCCCGTGCATATCATGGGCACAGTACAGTGGCACCAGCCCCAGCCCTCATGGGCACACAGCTCCTCCATGCATTTTCTGGGTCACATCTGCCCCAGACTAGCTGGAGTCACCATGGCCAGGACCCCGTCCACACTGTCCACACTGGTGTTCCCAGGCAGGAGCCTTCGTGGAGTCTCCGGTCAACTGCATTTGTACGGTGCAGCAGGTGCCCAAGATAGACATCTCCAGGAAACCACCATCCCCAGCCTCAAGCCAAGCAGCTGGCCTCTCCAGGTGTGAGCTCTTCTGCACGCACGCCTGCCCTCTGTAGCCAGGGCCTCCCAGCCAGACAAGGACCCCCCCACACACACACCTGGATGTCTGGCAAAAGACGTGTGTCCCTAGAGTACATGGGCCCCTTGGCCCCTGGACAGCCATGCTAGACTCCGCCCACATGCACTGACCCCTCCAGGACAGAGTGGCCAGGGTGCCCGGGTGGAGCCGCACATGCTGGCGGCCTCATGCACCGCCGCCCTGGCTGACTTGCAGGCAGGCGGGCGCTGCAGCAGGAGCCCTGGGCACAGCGTGGCTCAGAGGTGGCCTGTATGGTGCTGTCATCCTTGGCCAGTGGGTCCCCCAGGGGTCTCTAGCTTCATTTTTCCCTCAACCCAGCTACACTCTCCTGTGTGTGTTTCAGAAAGGCTGCGAATGTGGGCTTGGGCCTGTCTGACCCCCCACGAGGCCGCACTGTGGCCAGGTGGATTCAGGAAGGGAGGTCTAGAGGTTGGGGACACTGGAGGTTAGTATGAGATCTGTGGTTCAGCCCTACACCTGTGCCAGTCCTCAGCTTGGGGACAGATGCAGAGCCCAAAAGGAGGTCCCCCGCCACTCAGGAGTGGGGGTCAGCAGAGCTGCCTTCTCCTTCAGATTTGGGACCTGGGGAGAAGGCTCCAGAAAGAGCTAGACAGCTCTTCATGAAACCTCAGGGTACAGATGTTCCCCCACCCGCTAGGTCCCTATGTGCTGGGGAGGCTCTGCAGCTCAGACCACCAGCTCCACCTGCTGGGGGGACCAGCCATAGCCTGGCTCTCCTAGAGCAGCACCCTGGCGTCACTGGCCCTGCTCCAGGGTCCAGACCCCTGGCTCCCTGTGACGCTCAGGTCACTCTGGATGGGGGTCTCAAGACCCCTGCTGCCCAGGGGCCACCTCGTCAGCTGCTTCTGTGGTTGAGGAGATGGGGAGGCCTCCCTGTCCTAGGTAGGCTTTGCTGGGCTGCGACCACGGCAGGAGCAGGGGCTCCTGGGGCCTCTGGGGTGGCTCTGGGGGCCTGGCCAGCGGCTGCGTGCAGCGGGGGGCTGCATGCCAACAGGAAGGGTGAGCAGGAGCGGGCGGACGCTGGGCAAGACACATCTACCTTGTTCCACCAGCCCCATGGTGGTGCCGGAGGCCGCGGTGGACATTGTGGCTGGAGCGGTGGTCTGTCTGCCCACTGTTAGCGCCGGGTTAGAGACGAGGGGTTGGGGGCGGACGACACGGGGTATGGGCAAGGTGAGGAAAGAAAAGAGACAAAGGAAGCACAAGAAGATTAGAGTTAAAGTGTAGGTGGCTCCAGAATCCTTTTCTCAGGAGAGTGAAACAAGACCGGGCCGACTGACACGGAAGAGCGCTCGCCTCCTTTCTCTCAGAAGCCGCAGGGGGCTTCTGGTGGCCCGCGGGCGGGCGAGCGGCACACAGCAGACAGACAGTCCCGTTAGCATTGGTGTGGCCGTGCGTGCCCATTCCAGGCAGGATGGCGTCACAGCAAGGAACAGGAAGGGGTGCCAGGTGCAGACGGACAACAAGAGACGGCCACAAACGCTCGCACACGCGGAGTCGGACGACGGAGAAGCCACGAGCACGGCTGATGGGCGCCGGGGTCCCTACAAGACCCCTGAGGCTTTGTTCCCCACTGCCTGCCCTGGGCAGCCAGCACTCGGGAGGCCCATCCCCAGGGCAGGACACAGACCCCACGCAGCTGCCCCTTGCCACCTCCCGGGCACAGTGCAGTGCTGAGGCCCCTGGACACACGGAGGCCACAGGCTGCCGGACAGACGCCTGGACAGACACGTGTGCAGGCAGGGCAGTAGGCGGCACAAACACTGAGGTGTCGGGCGAAGGACACGGACCCCACACAGAAGAGACAGGGCAGGGGATGGCGGAGCCCTCGTGGCCGGCTGGGAGCTGACGGCAGAGGCCCGCAGGACTTCCTGCCACAGCCTGCAGGGCAAGGTGGCATCAATCCTCCCTGGAGAAGAGTGTCTCACCTGAGAAATTCCGCGTGGCCAACATGGTGGTAAGGATGGCACCCTGGGGGAGACACAGACAAAGCGGGGCCCTCTTGTTAGCGCCCCCTGCTGGCCAGTCGCATGGCCCCTGTCCTCTAACAGCTCAGCCTTCTGCAGAGAAAGAGCCTAGAGCCCAGCAGGTGCAGGACCCAGCGTCTTCCTGCTACCCATGATGCCCAGGTGCTTCAAGACCCTCAAGACTCAGGAGCCACTAAGACCACCTGTCACAGGGCAGCTCCTCCTTAGTCTAGGGCAGGGGCTGCCACCCTCAGGGTTTTGGGGGAAACCAATGAGGCCAGCCCTTCCTGAGCAGGGCATGTGGGATTTTCCGAAGTTCTAGGGCCGAGCTGCATTCACCTTGAGCTTCCTCCTGGCGTTGAACTTCTTCAGACACTCCACAGTCTCCTGCCTGTGCATCATGGAGGCCACAGTCGAGCGTTGCTGCAGGGAGAGGTGAAGTCATAGGGCAACAAGAAGCCCGGAAAGCCTCTGTCTCGGCCTCAGGGGAAGGGGCCCCAGTGAGCCAGGGGAGGCCCAGGGCTTTGGGCGGGTGGCACCCCTACCCCACATGTGGAGAGCCACCAGCACCACCTGCCACCCCACCCACCTATGACTTCAGGCATTGTATCTCCTGTTTGCGTGCTTTTGTCCCTGAACAGACAGGACTGATGACAGGAAGAAGCGGCCTCCTCTGCTCCTTATGCCCCCCAAAACCTAGTTCCTACCAGTGTGTCCCAGGCCAGAGGCTGCCAGGAGTGTCCAGGGGACTCAGGAGCCTTCAGACGTGAAGAACAGAACAGGGCCCCCACCTTGGTGAGCAGCCTTCCCTGGGGAGCGAGGTCAACTTACACAGACCCATGGGTGCTTCAGGGCCTCGTGGGCTGTGATGCGCTTGGCAGGGTTGATTGTCAGCATCTGGTTGATGAGGTTTTTGGCTTCAGGAGTGACTGTGTCCCACTCAGGGGATGGGAACTAGGTGGGGAAAAGTACACAGGCTGAGGCTGAGGCTCCTCTCCAGGGGCAACCCGAGTAGGGGAGGCAGCACACAGGCAAGGCTGCCCCCCCCCCCCCGCCCCACACACTCACGTCGTAAGCTCCGGCCTTGATCTGCTGGTAGAGCTTGTGCTGGTCCTCGTCCCAGAAGGGCGGGTAGCCCACCAGCAGGATGTACAGGATCACCCCTGTGAAGGGGCCGGAGCACATGGGCACATGGGCCCCAGAGGAGGCCCTCAGCCAAGCATAGCCCTGCCAGGGTCTGACAGCCCTGAGTCCCCATGCCCAATTCTCAGAGAAACCCCCAAGCCCGAGACGCATCAGCCCCACTCAGGAGTCTCACCACATGCCCAGATGTCCACGGGCTTGCCATATGCCTCCTTACGGAGGACCTCAGGGGACAGGTAACCCGGCGTGCCTGCGAATCCTGCAGAAAGGAGAAGGGCTGTGAAGGGCTGGGAGGGGCCACCCGCGTGCCCTGCCCTCCCCGCGGGCACTCACCAAACCACGCCTGCTGGTCCCCCTGCACCTCAATGGCCAGCCCGAAGTCCGCCAGCTTCACCGCGGCCCCTTTGCATTTGCTGGCCAGGAGCAGGTTCTCGGGCTGCAGAGAGGCAGCCATGGGCACAGTGTGAAGCCCAGGGGAGAGGAGAAAACAGAGGCAACAGGTTTGCGGGAGAGGGGTGCACAGGCCTGACCCGCCATGGTGTCCCAGGTACGGGTGAGTTCCAAGCCTATACTCTACAGCCCCGCTGCCCCTGGGGACAATGAGTGGCCCCAACCTTTCAGAAGGAAGATGGCCCTCAGCCCAAGCTTGGATCCCTTGCATCTCAGGTCAGGAATTGGGAGCCTCACAGGTCAAAACCTCTAGCTTACCCTATAGACAAGCATGAGTGCTATGGTTCCCAAGCCCAGGGCAGGTCAAGCCTCCCCTTTCTAGTGTTTGGGGGAGTCTGCTGAGTGGCTGCCCAGTTCCAGCCTGGACAGCGCCCCTCAAGAGCAAGGAGGAATGCCCAGGGTGTGGTGCGTGGGGAAGCCCTGCATAGCCAACTACCAAGCCTAGGGCTCTGGTTGGCACTGTGCACAGGCAGGAAGGACACCCCACTTTACCTACCTGCCCACCCATGCACTTGGGGAAACGTAGCTCAGGCCTGCTCAGGACAGCATCCTGGCTCAGGCCTTCAGGCCAAAGGACACGTGTGCCTAGCCCAGGTGCTACTGTCCCTGGACTGAGGCTTAAGTCTTGGACTCTCTGGTCCAATTTCCCAGCCCTGACTGCCAGGGGCTGTGGGCCACAGTTCCCATCAGCAGCTGAGCCTCTCCGAATCCCACAGACGCAGGGCCTGTGTGGGTCACACTGGCACTAGCGAAGAGCCACTTCCCTTCCACCCAGCACACTTCCCTTCCACCCAGCCCACGGCCAGCTGTGGTCCTGAGACCTAACATGGGACACACGGCCCTTGCAATGGATGCAATTGATGCCCCAACCCCATGTGTAGAGATGAGCGCTTGGCCCCATGCAGTCACAGCACCCTGAGGCCTCCTTCAGAGGCTGCAGAGCAACAGGGCAAGGCCTGTCCTGCCCGTAACTTTCCTTCTTCTGTTACTCTCGTGACACACTGAGCCTGTCCATCTCAATTCTGCAGTGTGAAGCAGGCAAGGGCCCAGCACCCTACTCTGTTCTCACACTGAGAATCTGAAAGAGATTGCCTGCGCTGCCTGAGGTCTGCTCCTGGGCCTGGCATGGGCACTGGGGGTGGAGAAGCCCCAGGAAGCCCTGTACAGAACAAGGTGGCCAGGGGCCCAGAGAGACGCACAGAAGGGCCTGGCTCAGGGCCACACTGCCAGGTCTCCACCCCGGGCTCTTCCTCCATAGCCCACAGGGCACCACAGCCCTCTACTCTCTGCCAGCCCACACGTGGCCAATTCCCAGGGCTCTCCAAGAAAGGAAGGGTGCTCTGCTCCTGCAGAACGATGCTGTCTGCCCCTAGAGCTGGGCAGCAGAAAGCACCCAGTCTACTTCTGTGCCTCAGCCCCAATGCTAACCAGATTAACTGTGGGTCCCAAGGCAAAGTGTCTACGTTCTCAATGCTCAGCCCTCTCCTCCCAGGGACCCTGGCTGAGGCTGGCTCTGACCACACAGTGAAGGGCCAAGAGGGGGCAGCTGCAAAGACCAGCACCCCTCAGTCATGGCCGAGAGAAGGGTGAGTCCTGATCAGCAGGGTGCTCAACGAGAGACTGGTCCTGCACCCCTGGGGCTGGGCCTGGGTCCACCAGCCTCGAAGCAGCAGCAGGCTGAGCAGGCCATGGGGGTGGTGGGCTGGAGGGGAGGTCAGGGGAAGGGCAGGAGAGGGAGCAGGGAGAAGCAGCAGCCACCCTGTGCCCTGGGGAGACAAACCTTTGAAACAGAACCTGGAGCCCACAGCTCAGCTCTGGGCAGCAGAGAGCAGGCTGCAACACTCTGCCCTAGAAGCACCAGCCATGTCACCTGTGTTCCCACCTGCCAGGGCCTCTTCTCAGTAGAAAGTAAGACCCTCAGTATGTGTCTGTTACAGGCAGGCTGCTGAAGCTGTCCCTTCCAGCCTTGGAGGCACTAGGCAGGTGCGCAGATGTCCACGTGCACCTCCATGTCTGCTCACGCACACCTGCATGTCTGCACACAAACACTCCCCCACACATGCACACAGCCCATACATGCACACACCAGGCACACTGATACACAAGCATGACCGTGTGTGTACATACATGTACACACATGCGGACACACATATGCGCCTTTGTGTACCCACAGACATGCCTGTGCCTATGTGTACACAGATTATGCACAGAACACACACACACACATTTCCATTACATATACCTGCATGTACACACACGCGCACAAGACCCTCCATGCACCCTCATGTGCATGTTCTCACACGTGTGCACAAGCCCACACACAGACCTCCACATGCACACAAATGCACGTGTCCATATGCACCAATGTGCACACAGCACAGCATGGACACATGGGCACACATACACATGTGCACACCCCAGAGCCCAGCCTCTCACTCGACATGCAGTGTGGACGACAGACCCTGCGCTCAGCAGGGCTGGAACTCACCTTGAGGTCTCTGTGGACGACCCCCATTTGGTGACAGTGGAGTACGGCCTCCAGGATCTGCTGGATGCAATGACTGCAGCAAACGGCAGGCAGGTTAGAGCAGGGGCCGGGGTGGGCTGTGCAGCCGGCCGGGTGCAGTCCCCAGCCCAGGGGGAATGCGGAAGATGCAGGACATCGAGGTGGGAAATGCTGCCCAGAGGGCCTCCGGGGCTCCAGCCTCCTGTGCTAGCCCTGCTTTCCCCTTTGGCCCTGGCCTGCTCTGGGGGGCAGGGTCAGGCCCATAGACCAGACTCCCAGAGGACACCTATCCCTGGCATGGCCCCCCAGGCATATTGGCCAACTGACCCTAAGCCAGAGCCACCAGGCTGACCTATACTCCATAAGTCAGGCTGCATGAGGGTGGGGCTGGGAGGAGGGGAAACTGAGGCAGGGAAGGGCAGAGTGGGCAAGGAAGAAGCATGGGGGCCACTGTGTGTGGTGAGCCCAGGCCGAAGCCCAGCTCTGAAGCAGTGACAGTGCCCAAGTGTGTGTGTGACTTCACTTAAACCCACACCATCATCAACACACCAGCTGGCCAGAAGCTGTATCCTGGGCAGCTGGGTGCTGTGAGCTCAGTTTCCGAGCACTGCTATCCCTCAGCAAGGGTGGCCCAAACACAGGAGTCCTGCTCTTCCAGGAGTATGCAGAGGGCTTTCCCAGATGCCCCAGACCACCTTCCTGGCACCTGTCCCTCATCACACAGCAGGAACCCACAGCCCAGGTGCAGAGTCTCACCCAGCCCCACCCACAGGGTGCAGCTGTACCCCACTGCACCCTAATGGGGCACTGGGCTGCTGAGATCTGCCCTCAGCCCTGGAACTGCAATCCCTTGCCCACCCCACTGCCCTGGCCTCCCCCCGGCCGCTCCTCTGCCGCTCCAGCTAGTGCAAAGGGGGCGTCGCTGGCTAGCAGCTGCTGCTCCCCCCCTTCCTCTGCCTGGTGCCATTCCTTCTTTGCATCTGGTCCCCACCCACCTCTCACTTGGGTGGTGCTCAGTCCCCTGCAGGCCTGGGGCCCCTCTGTCCACCATGTGAGGCCTGTGGGCTTGTGAGACCTCAGCCCCCCGCACAGGCCTCCAGAGATGGAAGAGGGGCTTAGCACCATCCCGCAGGCCCGCACAGTGCAGTGCACCTCCTAGTTGCCAACAGGCCTGGCATGCGCTGGTGTGTAGCTGGGATGATTAGGCCCTGAAGGTGCCCTGGGCTTTGATGTGTCCTGGGCTTCTGAGTAGCCCTGCGGTGCTCCTCTCCGCCAGGCATGGAAGGTGCCACCTCCACAGACCAGCAGAGGCCCCACCTGCCCCCCACATCCCTCAAGTCCACTGTGCAGGGGAAGTCACAGCCGTCTTGGGAGAGCTTCCCTCAGCCTCGGGCTTCTGAGAAAGACCTTCCTGTGTCATGGCAGCAGCTTGGGGCCAGGTGCTCCGCGGCCCATCCTCCTGATGCCACCTCCTAGCACATGGCCACCGTGTATCCCGTGTCCTCCCTGACTGTCCTCTGGCAGGGCTAACAGCTCCAGAGACCTCTCTGTATGTCCACAGACAGCAGCTGGTGCTGCCCAGGCCGTCCCCTCCCCAGCCCGCATGTTGCATGTGTCACTGCCCCCCAAGCAGTCACCAGTGCCTTGAAGGAACGTGCTGGCTAAGTAGTTCAGGATTCCCCAGGACACAGGTGCCGCACTGTGCCTGCTCACAGGGACAACGCCAGCCAGCAGCAGGGAGAGGACAGCAGGCAGAGCAGCCTTGACCGCACCGCTGGGCACTGCCGACCCCTCTCAAGGCTTTGTTTTATGCTTCACACAGTTTAGAAAGTCAGTTTTTGGTCAAAATCGTTCCCAAGTGCTGGGCAGCAGTTCAGCACTTGCCCAGTGTGTGCAGTTCAATCCCTAGCTCTGGAGATAGATAGACAGATAGAAACAGAGACAGAGAGACAGAAACAGAGACACAGAGAGAGACACACAGAGAGAGAGGAAGAGAGAGACGAGACGGAGACAGAGACAGACAGACAGACAATCCCAAGCAGCACTGTGGGCCCTCGCAGGCTTCTGGGTGTTACTCTAGTCTGCAGTCACCCCTCTGGGTACAGTCAGCATCTCCCCAGATCCCCTCCAACATCTTCCATGAGTCAGATTGATTTGTTTGCTCTTCTCTTCAAGGTGAGGTCTCAGCTACGACACCTAGTTGGACCTTGAACCCCTAAACTCAAACAGTCCTCCTGCCTCAGCCTCCCAAGCAGGTGGGACTACAGTCATGTGCCACCATGCCTGGTATCTAAGTTGTTGTTGTTTTTAATGGTGGGGGGAGCTGGGGAGCTAGGTCGGCAGCCATGAAGGCGCACGCCTGTAATCCCAGCACTGGGGAAGCTGAGATAGGAGAAACACTAGGAGTCTGAGCTGCACCGCGAAACCCTGTATCAAATAAGTAAATTAATAAATAATAAATATTTTAAATGTTTTTTAAAAAACAGGTCCTGGGTATTTTGAATATTGTTTTCCCTGTTTTGCAAAAGACTTAAACATCTTTCAAACTTCCCCACAATGTCCAAAATAAAAATCTTACTTCCCTTTTAGAGACAAGTTGAGGAAATCTGTTTTATCTTACTACTTCCTTCTTTTTCACTTCTTCTTCCTTCTTTCCTTCCTTTTTCTTTTTTCCTTTCTTTTTTTTTTTATATCAGGAATCCTGCTTCCTCTTTCTCCTGAGAACAACTCTGTAGAAACGCATCTGAGGGGTGCACTGTGCAGGCACCTGGGGGACCCTCAGCACACCTGCCCAGGCCAGATCTCTGAGCATCACAATGGCGCCACCCTGCTCCGGTGCTTGGTCCTCTACCTCCCTCTCCACCCTCGGGCAAGCTGAGTTACTGCTTTCCATATCGCTATGTGAGTTGCAGGGAAGCTGTGGGGCGGACCCCCGTGGTTCCCGGTTGGATGCTGTCAGCCACTCCATCACAGGCTGTGTCCCCCTCATCATGGCTTGTATGTAGACGTCCCCACAAAGCCTCATGCAGTCATAGGTGGGTAGTTTCTAAAGCGGCAGGTTAGGGTGTGTGAATGATAGTGAAGCCCCACCAATCAACAGGCTTGTAGCCTGGTTGGAATATAAAGGGAGTGAAGGAAGGCAGGCTAGCTGCTGCTGCTGCTGCCGCCGCTGCCTTCCACCTGCCTGCCTGCCTGCCCTGCCATGGACTGCTTGTCCTCTGTGATGCCCCTCTGCGGTGCTGCCCTGCCTTCGAGCCAGCTGCTTACACACTAAAACCTCTGCAAACTGTGAACTGAAATCAACCGTTCCTCTTCCTTTAATTTGCGAGTGTCAGGTGTTTTGTCCCAACAACAAGAATGTAACTAAGGGCTGGGGAGGTAGTTCAGCAGACTAAGGGCCGGCTTAGGCAAACTCAGGGACTAGGATTGGATCCCTGGCACCACACAGTATGCCGGCCCTACTCCTGAGCGCACTGAGCCGGCAACTGATTCTGGGCATGGTGGTGCGTGCCTGTAATCCCAGAGCTGGGGAGGCTGAAAACAGGAGGATCACTACGAGTCTGAGCTGCAGAATGAGACCCTCCACCAAATACATTTTTTTAAAAAATGTAACTAACACATCCTCTTCTAGGCAGGCCATGTCATGGGGGGCCACCCATAGGTGGGCACAGGGGTCATATTTGCAGGAAGCCCAGAAGGGGACTCTCTTTGGGGCTGCCTGTGCCCTCCCATCCCTATGCAACTTAAAACAGATCCCCAGGTCCTGGCACTCCTCCCACTCCACCCTCGCCACCCTCAAGATCCCAGAATTCCAAAAAGGAAATGAGGGGTGTGTGGTGGGACAGTGTCCCATCTCTTCTGGGCCACGTGACCCAAAAGAATGGCCTGGGGCAGGTGGGCCTCTGTCAGTGAGCTGGCAAGGTGCCAGGGGACTGGAGGCGACACAGAGCTCCTCCCTCGGCAACTCTGTTTGCCAAAGGCTCCCAGCACAGGAGCCAGGAAGCCCCAGCCCCTAGGCAGCCTTGTGCTTGCGGCCCCACAGTCTCAGCAGGGCCACCAGAGGGCGCAGTGAGTGCACCAGAGACCGACCAGGCCAGAGGTCCTCTGGCAGGGAGCAGAGTGGCCAAGGTTCTGGAAGGCAGTGGTACACAGGACCCCTCAATCCCTGAGGCTGTGTGCCAGGGTACAAACCCCCTCTGGGCTGCCCTCTCTGGTTTCCACATGGTGGGCGACTCCGAAGGCCTTGTGGGTGGCTGAGGACACAGGTGGCAGGGTCAGGGTGGGTCCGGCAGGTGGGCCAGGCTGACTGATGCTTTGGTCAATAGGGGAACCAGGCCTGTGTAGCACCCACGAATGTCAGGCTCACAAAACACCCAGAAAGGCCGCTTCTGATCTGTGGCTGAAGTCTCTGCTGGGCTGACAAGGCCCAGGCCCCTCATCCGGCATCTATGGGCCCCTCTGAGTACTCAGCCCACCCTCACACTCCTCCTAGTGAGCGTGGACTACAGCACGGCATGAGTCTACAGCAGGCATCCCCCTGCCAGGGAGTCAGTTCCCCTTCCAGCGTCTCAGGCAGAATACAAGGAAAACCTCCCGATCCTCCTCTCCAGGGAACAGGCCACCTTCAGGCTATTGCGCAAGACTGAGGGTCCTTTCTGAGGAAGAAGCTGGGGCCCTGAGGCCTGTGAGGTCTGGGCCAAGAGCAGGGGCCATATCTCTGCTTGTCCTGAAGTCCCTCGCCCTGGCTGTCCTGTGGCCTCTGCGGGGGCTGTGAGGGACAGTCGGCTCATACCTCCTTTAGGGACTCAAGGCCTGTGACAAAGGGCACGGCCATATGAAGCTACTTTACAAACTGGCATTCATTTTCTTGATTACAAATGGAATACAGCATAGTCAGGCATGGTGGCGCACAGCTGTAAGCCAGGCACTCAGCCACTGAGGCAGGAAAACCTCAAGTCTGAGCTCAGCCTGGGTAACTTAGCAGTTTGGTAAGACCCCCTCCTCACAATAAATGGAAGGGGGCTGCAGCTCAGTGCAAAGGCCCTGCATGAAACTCTGAGTACCGAACACAGACAGGGCTGGGGCTGTAGCTTAGCGAGAAGACATCCATGACCTCGATCTCCAGGCTGGGGTGGAAAACATAATCTTTAAACAGACAAGATACAAATTTCAAAGCATCCCTAACTCGGCTGCCTAGAGACCCCTGCAGCATTCTTCTTTGAAGGTGGATCTGAGGCACCGCAGTGCACACAGCTGGGCCCCCAGCTGTCTCTTAGTACAGCCAGGGCCCATGGTGGCTTCAGCCCTCTGGTGACAGTATGCCCCCCTTGGTATGGTCCCCAGCAGCCATGCCACCAATGGCCATCACTGGCCACCGTCCGTCTGGGTTGCCCTGCCAAGGCCACCTCAAGGAAGGGGCACCCAGAGGTCCACAAAGAGGCCTGGTGGGACAGAACACATGTCCCTCTGGCACACCCCATGCTGGAAGCCCAGGGGCAGAGTATGCTGGATGCACAGGGGAGGTGGCTCTCCTAGCTGAGTCCCCAGCCCACCAGGCTTTGGGGGGTTTTATTGTTCATTTTTTTGTCTTTTTGAGACAGAGTCTCATTATACAGTTCAGGTTGGCCTTGAGCTCACTTTGTAGCCCAGAATGGTCTCAAACTCATAGTGATCCTCCTACTTCAACCTCCTGAGTGCTGGGATTACAAGTGTGCACCACCACATCTGGCATGGCCTGGCTTTTGGGGACAAGGGACTCATCATGGAACAGCAGGGTCCCCCAAAGCAAGTGTCATGAACACCTGTGACCATCTCCCCAAGCAGCCACCCCATGAAGAGTACCCCACATAATGCAGCAACTAAGGGCCCCACCAAGCCACACCTCCATGCTGAGCAAAGGCCTACAGCCTGTCCCTGCTGCTTCTACTGCCTCAGAGAACTCCTGGTATGGCCAATGGCAGACTGGCATCTACCACTCAGCTGCCTTCTGCATGGCCAGAGGTGGATTACAGAAGGGGCAGAGTGAGATCTGGGCGAGGGGCAGGGCACAAGGCGCAGGGGAGCCCACCTGGCGTCAGCCTCGCTGTAGTACTCTCTCGCCACAATATCTTCAAATAGCTCCCCTCCAGTGACCCTGCAGTGAAAGCACATAAGGGCATGGACTCCGTGGATCCTGGCCACCCAGTCACCACCCAACCGCCTCCACGGCCACCCACCATCACTGTCACCCCATCCACTAGCAGCACCTCATCACCACCACCACCTCCACCATCAGCTCCTCCACCATCACATGTGACCACCTCCATCACCTTCATCACCTCCATCACCGCCACCACCACCACCTCCACCATCACCACTTCCACACCATCATCTCCGTCACGTTTACCACCATCACCTCCGTCTCCCTCTCCACGGTCACCACCACCACCTCCACCACCAGCTCCTCCACCATCACATGTGACCACCTCCATCACCTTCATCACCTCCATCACCGCCACCACCACCACCTCCACCATCACCACTTCCACACCATCATCTCCATCATGTTTACCACCATCACCTCCGTCTCCCTCTCCACGGTCACCACCACCACCTCCACCACCACTGGGTCCCCACTATTACCACCTCCGTTACCATCACTCTTCATCTCACTGTCATCACTGCTGCTGCCGCCTCTCCCCCGTCCCTGTCCCCATCTTGACTACCATCACCACCTCTCTCAACATCGTCATCACCTCCATCATCACCTCCATCACGACCACTGTCCCCATCTCTATTACCACTGTCAGAACCTCTGCCCTAGTGCCATCGTCAGCTAGGCTGATGGCTTATCAAGTGCTCACTCACTCATTCACACATGATGCCACTCCCTATCTCTGTCCTGACAAATGTCCTCTGTCACTGGCACTTGTATACTCCATTACCAAGGAGAGTGAGCTGAGATCTAAGTGATATCCTCAGAGTGGGCAGCGCAGGGTTTCGGCCAGGGCTCTACGATGGCACATCCAGGCTCTAGGACTCAATTTTACATCGAAGACCCAGTCCCCCTCCTCAAGCACCCTAGGGCCGGAGTTGGGCCCCAGCAGCAGGGAACCAGAAGACCTGGTGACTGGATAGGCTCCTCCCGATGGGCTGAGGTCTGAAGGTGCTCCAAGCCCTGTCTCTTTGAGGACAGCAGATGCTGGTGTGTGTGCATGTGTGTGCACGTCTGCCCTGTGTCCCCACCAGGGAGCAGCCATCAGGATGTGGCCCGCATGGGCCTTGGGGCAGGAGCTGCTGTCTAGCGGCCCTCTGAGGACCCAGAAAGTCTCTAGGGAATTTGTAGTGGAGGCACCTCTGAATCTGCAGGAGACACCACCAAGAGGCTCCCACCCTCTGCAGGGGGCTCTCTCTGGAAAGGGGGTGCTGGGGGGCCTCTTCCCAGATCCTCCTGTTCCAGAATCCCATTTCAACATTTTCTGTTCCTCTGTAAGGTGGTGCTTGGGTCTTTCTCAGTTTTATGCCCACAGCAGGGATTCAAGGACTTGAATGAACTGGGGACGGCTCAACCGTGACTGTGGTGCATGTGGGCATGATGTCCAGCGGTGGGGAAAATAAAACAGGGCAAGGCTGTGCTGTGTGTTAGGGTTCCACTGCCCAGCACCCCACATGGCCAAAGACCCTCAGGGGATGCGCAAGCCTTCTGTGGATTGGAGCAGGGCCACCCAAGGGGTGACCATCCTGAAGCAGCAGTCCCAGGTTCGTAAGACTCAGGCTGCGTCCAGCAGGCTGTGGGATCTGTCAGAGCGCTCCTCCCTACAGCTGTACTGGCACCATGAGGGCAAAATGTGTGAGTGGGGGGGCCACAGGTGCGTGTGTACATACACAGCGGAGCGCAGGAGGGCTGGGCCGTCCCGGCTGTGTGTGGCTGGCTTGCACGCCAGTTCACTGATCTGGCTCTGCAGACCTGGAGTCTGGGCAGAGGACAGTGACTGAGGCACCGGGCCTTGGACCAGGCTTTCCTCCCATTCGCAGCCACGGGACTGTGTGTGCTCAGGAATGGGGCAGTCCACGAGGCCCTGCATCTGCCCCACTCCGCAGGGCTATGGGGCACCTGTGGTCAATTCCAAGCTGCAGCTTTAGCAACAGGGGTCCCTCTTTCTCAGAAGATGGGGAGCAGGGACACCAGGCAGCCCCCAGACTCTTCAGAGCTCTTGAACAGCTAAAGGCATCAGGGCCTCCTGCAGGTGACAGCAGCCCACCCAGGACACTGCTCCCCATAGGCCACAGCAGTCTGGAAGGAGGGTGTGCAGGTCTTCCGGACCCCCACCTGCTCTGTCCTCCACTGCTTGGTCTCAGACCAGCACCTACCACTGGCTCACATGCGTGCGCACACACACCCAACCCGCTCTCCTTCCATCTTTTGACACATGCAGTCAACTGTTGGTCCTCAGGGCCATCCTGTGGCCTGGCCACTGTCACTTGAAGGAGGACATGCTGACAGAGCAGCCGCTGTGGAGGAACCGCTGGCCAGCCCTCGGCCTGTCAAGGGGTTGCCATGCCAACAGCACCACAGCTGGGCTCCCCTGGCCGTGGTCACCCAGAGGCCACAGGAGCAGGCCGAGGCCCAGGGCCCCGGCCCAGGGTCTGGCTGCAGCCCTGATTCACCAATAGCTAAGTATAGCGCTGCTTAGCAGGAGCTGTCAGGAGCCAGGGGATGAGATCACTGTTTCTAAATCCGGCAGGAAGTGAGAGGCGGAATTGGCCCAGGCGCCTTTTCCTCAGCTACTGCATGCACATGCGTGTGCACGCGCACACACCATTTTCACAATACACACACGCGTACACACACACACATAAACACACAAGCACACCCCTAATACACATACATGTACACATATACATATTTGTACATGGTGTGCACATACACACACATGCCTGTGCCCCCAGAAACCACACCTGCACACACATGCAAACACATTCACACAAAGCACACATGTGTGTCCCCACACGTATGCATTGGTGCTCTTGTGCCCACACACATGCACACACCCACACACGCACGTGTGAATGTGCTCAACCCCCTTATGAACATGCAAGCTCGCACCCGCCCTCAACACCCGTCCCGTGAGCCAAGGTGCAGGGAAGAGGGTAAGCGAGTGTCACTAGCCTGTGAGGACAGGATATCACTGAGGGTCCTGGCCCTGAGGACTCATAGGAGGGCTGAGGGAGGCCAGGAGGTCAGGAAGCTGGGGCCCACAGCGAGACACACGCAAGCACACTGGCTATGATGGGGCTGGGAGGGCTGCAGGCCCCAGCTGGCCTGGCACAGACAGCAGGAGAGGGTGCAGGGCCCAGGTGTAGCACTTACAGATCGAAGACCAGGTAGTGGAAGCCCTCCTCAGAGATGCTGTCATGCAGACGCACTGCGGGACAGAGAAGCCATGAGCTGGCGCGGCCCGGCCCACTCACCTGCCTCTCTGGTCCCAGGGCTGCCAGGGCCAGGGAGGCTCAGGAGCTTGGACCCTGCGGACCTCGCACTATCGCCCTTCCCTCCCCCAGCTGGCTGACTCTCCTCTCCTCCATCAGCAGGACACAGGGAACCCTGAGCCAGGGCAGGAGCTGCAGTGCCATGGGACGGCCTGGGGTGCAAGGTGCCCACAGCCATCTCCTGACAGAGCAGCTGCAGAGCCTGCACAGCACACCTGCGGGCCAGTGTCTGAGTTCCAACCCAGACCCTCAAAGCCCTCCACGTCCTAGTTCTTGGCTGCCTTGAAGATCTGCATGCTTATGCCCCCGTCCTAGATCTGCCTGGTGCAGGGCAGGGGTGAGTGCGAACAGACGCCCACACGCAGCCGGAAACACCTGGGGCGATGCCGCCAGGGTCCTCTTCTCTCCCAGTGAGTTCAGCCCTGTGCTGGAGCCTGGCAGCTCTGAGTTTTGTTAGCTCAATCAACGCTGACATCACCGAAGCACAGAGAGGTTGAATAACCAGCTGAAGGTCACCCAGCCCACATATGGCACAGTGGGGCTGTGATTAGGTCCGTCTGGCTCCAGGACCTGCGCTGCACCAGCCTCCATCCCCTCTACTCCTTGGAACAGAGGCAGATGACCTCTGAGGCCTTATGGTCCTTGTCCCCAGCCCCCGTGGTGTTACAAAGCCTTCTTCCTGCCCCTCCAGGCTTCTAGAGCCTCCAGAACAAAGAGTCCACATAGCTCCAGCCCCTTCCTGGTGCCCTCTGGCGCTGTCCTACTTTCTAACTGGCTGCCAGGGCCCTCCCTCCTGTCTCTGGTCCCCTGGGGACCAGTCTGTTGGTGTCCTTGGTCCAAAAATGCCGATGTGGCCTCCAGGGCCCAGGCTTCACCTGCAGACCCCTGGCACCAGTGCCCCCACCAAGGCCTTCCTTCCTCAGCACCTCCCCCAGGGCACCAGACCCCCAGCCCAGAGGGACTGTCCCTCTCTGCACCCGCCTGGGTCCACTCCTCTGTGAAGGGGACACAAAAAGTGCCTCCTTGCAGACTGGGAAGCTGTGGGACTTGTCACTGTCACCAACATTGTGTGGGTCTGGCCTGAGACACTGCAGGGCCCTGGGGCCCACAGGCAGCAGTTCCAGAGCCCTGGGTGTAAAAAGTCACTGGAGCCACCTGCGCTTGGGGACATGCTGCTCACACCTCCAGAGACCAGAAGGCCCAGCCACATGGTGTCCACGGCCACAGCTCTTGGGGTGCATCAGGACAGCCTGTCTGGAGGGGCTGCCCTGCCCCGCACCCCTCCCACTGCAGAATGGGGTGAAGCCAGGGGCTGGGGCACACGGGCCTGGGGGTCCCTCCTCCTCACCAGGAAGCAGGGAGTCCACGGATCTGTGTGGGAAGTCGGGGAGGTGCGGACGTACACGCTTCCTTAAACATTTTTAACATTTTAAAAATAGTCAGGTGCTTATTTTAATGGTTTAGAAGAAAACCTAACTAGCACATGAGAGCCGTGGATGCTCAGGCAAGGCCGAGCACAAAAGTGAACTGTCACGAAAGTCTACTTAAATAACAATAGTGAGCGAAGAATGCTGTATGCAGAGGTGGCATCAATGCGGGCCCAGGGTGTCCTGGACTGGTCTGGGCACCTTGGGTCAGGTGATGGTGCAGATGTGACCCAGACCTGAGCCACTGCCCTCAGCACCCCGGGGGACAGGGCCCCTGGGGTGCCCACCCCTCTCGGCTGTGTTCTGGAGTCTCCCATTGTTGTGGTCCCTTTGCCTGAGGGTCGTGAGGCCCATGGGCCAGGGTCCCTCCACCCTTGTCCTTAGCCACCCCCACTCAGGCACACCACTCTCTAGCTTCTCCATGGGCCACTGAGGAGGGCCACTGCTTACAGCCCAGGACAGGTGAGGGCACTGACCCCCAGGGCTGGCTGAATCCACTTGGGAGCCTGGGGGCACTGAGTCCCAGGGCTCCTGCTGTGGTGCTGAGGACTCTGCCTGCCACCTCACTTAGACCCTGTCCACCCAGGCGCTGGGACAGTCTCCTGATGCCCCCTCTGCCATAAATGAAGTGCTTTTGAGACAGAGAGATGGGGCAGGTGCCTGAGGTGGTGCCACTGTCTCCTCCTGAGACCTTGCCCAGCACAGGGCCGGTGTCCCTAAACTTGAAGAATCGTGGATTCGGGAACCTTCTCTGGGGGTGGTGTTGACCTGGATCATACCCAGATGGTGTGCAGGCCACCTGGGCTCAGGAGAAATGCTCCACAGCCCGCAAGGTGACCACCACGGTCCCCCTCACCCAGCAGGAGGCCACGCATCACACTGGGTCCCTGGACATTCTAAGGCTGAGGACCCGGTCACCAAACCCTCAGGGGCTGTGGCCCTGACGTGGGAGCCCTGGGCCACCCAAGTGTTTCTGCTTCTTCCAGGGGATCCAAAGGTGTCAGTCCCACACCAGGTCACATCTGCCAAGCCGGTGGACTCTTCCTTGTCTGTCCTACCCGTGTCTCTCCTCCAGGGACACTGCTGCCATGAGACACGGTGGACACCTGGGGCCCAGGTCCTGGTGCAAAGGTCCCCCGCTCTGAAAGGCTCGGCCCGGCCAGGCCCCCTGCTCCACACTAGGTACCGCTGAGGCCACAGCCAATGCCCTCCTACAGCCCAGCCTCCTCCATCCTTGGGCAATACAGAAATAGCCCAGCCTCAGTCTCCCCTGAGGTCACAGTTGGGGCAACCAGCAGGCATATGTGTGCAGCTGGAGTGTGGGCAGCTGTGAATCCACTTGTACTGGGTCCCTCAGCACAGTGGAAACCAGGTCCACGACCTCTGTGCCAGCCTTGGAACATAGGAAATGTGTCCCAAACCCCTCCAAGAGGAGCTTGAGTCCCTGCCCTCCTGTGTGGGCATCAAGCTGACCAGGCAAAAGTGACCGGGCTCCTTGGAGGTTACTCAGAGCTCCCTAGGACCGAGTGACCCTGCTCTTGGGTACAGACCCACAGGACTAAGCAGGACTCACATACCTGGGCCCTGCTCACAACCGCCAAAGGCCAACCGATACAGCGTGGCAACCCCTTGCCAGCCATTACTCAGCCTTAAAAGGGAAGAAATCGTGACAAATGTACAACACAGGTGGCCCAGAGGACACCACAGTGAGGGAAATCAGTAGCCACCAAACAGACACCCCGAACAATCCACTCCTCTGTGGTCCCCACAGCAGCCAGATTTACAGACAGATGGAGAACTGGGAGTGAGGACCCAGTGCTGTGTGTGTATTTAACAACTAATATTATGTATACTTTATTGTAATTTTAAAAAGATGCCATACTTCCTCTCTCTCTCTCTCTCTCTCTCTCTCTCTCTCTCTCTCTCTCTCACCCACACACACACACACACACACACACCCTCCCCCGTCTCTTTCTGTCCCTCTGCCTCTGTCTCTGTCTGCTCTATGCATATGTCCAAGCCTCTGTCCCCAGCCCAGGGCACTCTTGCAAGGATCTGGGGTCTCTGAGAGATGGGGTTGGTCACTGGTGCCAGGGCGCTGAAGGGGAGGCCGGGACTCTGCTGCTGCCTGGAAGCTCCTAGGGTTCCTGAAAAGGGCCCACACAGGCGATATTGCCTCAGTCCCCCATAGTGCCTTGTCCCTGAACACACAGCAGCTGGGGTTTCCTCAGCTGGGAGCCCCTGTCCTCCAATGTCCACTCTATGCAGGCTGCCTCAGACAACTCCCTCAGCCTCCTACAGGCCTCACAGCAAGCCAGGCACAGTGGAGACTGTGGCTGTTCCTGCCCCAGCCTGGCCCAACCCAAATCCCAATCTGACCAGGAGACTTTTGCTCTCTGTGACTAGCAGACCACAGGCAGATTTCTGTTTGGAGGTGGGGTTGGTGGCCCAGAAGTGAGCCTCAGAGAACCCCAATCTACAGCGAAGGTTTCTTGTGAGCCTCTAGCCCAGGCCACCACCTCTGGGTTCCAGAATGCTGTTTCTCCCGGGACGAGGCCTGACTGGAATGAAGCCCCTGTGGGGACCTCCAGTGGCTGCTACTCCCAGGCCCAGACCCAGAACTGAGGCCAGGCCCCCATCTGGAACCACCCAGACCCAGGCCAGGGATCTAGCCAGGGCACCGAGACATCCTGTCCAAGACCTACGCGTGACACCCACCCAGGAACACCTGGTGTTCCACACCCCCAAGGCTGATGGCCCTCTCTCCCTTGGGGCCTGGGCTGGCAGCAATGTGTTCTGGCTGTGCCCCAGGTGTCCCTTTTAAACCCAGCTTCCTAGGTGCCATGCTGGCGAAAGGGCATGGAGTCATGGCAGGCTGGTGAATCCCCACGCCCCAGCCCTCCCTCCAAAGGGGAGGCAGCCACCCCTCAGGGTGGCTCCCTGCTCCCCAGCATGGGCAAGGCCTGAGCTCTGGGCTGCCTGAGTGCCTGAGGGACCAGTGTTGGGAGGAGACAGGCATGGGACACAGGCACACGTGCACACACTCAGCTGGAAGTGCCGATGGCCAGGACCCAGGGCCTGGGAGCTCTGAGGTGACCTGCAGGATCAGCCCGGCCTTCAGGAAGGAGACTGCAGCCACTGGTGCTGCTGGACTCTTGGGGCCCCGGACCTCGGGTGGGCTGGGCCCAGTGCACGGACTCCATCTGACCCAGCTGAAGGCAGGGGGCTTCCAGTCGCTCACTTGCCCTCTCTTCTTGGCTGGGCCAGCCTGGGACTCCCTGGAGACCTCTCCACACCCCAGCCAGTAGACAGGCCACCAACCCTGGGTTCTGGGCTCCAAACACCCCAGGAACATCCTCAAAAACGCCCCCCCGCCCGCCCTCCTGGAGGCCGCTCACCGATGTTGGAGTGCTTCAGCAGGCGGCAAATCCGGGCCTCTCTCTCCAGCTTCTGGTGATCTGGGGACACAGAAGGACAAGGCGTCACCTCGAGCCTCAGCAGCAGGCCTGCGAGGGTGCGCAGCCACTGCCAACTGAGCAAGGGTGGTGGCAACCGAAGAGCCGAGGGACAGACCCTCCACTTCCTGCTCTGGGGCACCCCTGGCTGGCTTCGCTGTGGCAGTGAGAGGCACAGTGCGGGCACTGCCAGGCCCCAGCCAGTACTGTTGTCCAGGGGACAAGCAACAGATGCCCACTAGGGATGCTGGGGAGGCAGTGGGTGCAGGAGCTCAGGGCTGAAAGTTGCCGCATGACTCAGGACAAAGTGCCCTGCGTGGTCCACCCTGCTTCTGTACTCTTTGGGACTTTCTACTGACGGCAAATTTGCTCTCTCAAGGCAACAGCGGGGTCTGCATAACTATGTCAGGCAGGTTGGGGTGAGGCTGTGACTCCAGAGCTCAGAGCTCCCTACTCTACCTCACCCCAATGCACCAGCCTCAACTGGCTCTGGGAGGGGGAGATACAGAGATGCCTGGGCATTGCCTGCCAGAGACTGGTGCCACTTAGGCAGTCCCTCCACGGAGCCCCCAGAGAAGGGGCCAGTTTATCAGTCAAAAGTTTTATATTTCAGACAGAGGTACCAGGAGGATTTAAAATGCTAACAAGAGTGTAACCAGAGCCCAAAGATGAATGGAGAGGGGACAGTGCTGGGGCCACACCTACCAGAGCACACCCTAGCTGCCAAGGTGATGCCCAGCGCAGAGGTGACCCCCAGGAGCACCCAGTGTGGGCTTTCGTGTACAGCCAGGTGGAAACAGGTGCATCCCTGGGGCACGACCACTCGTGGGATCGTGAGGAAAAGCAGGCAGATCTTCAGCACTCAGGACAGCGGCTGCCTCCCAGTGAGACAGGGCACCCCACACCGCACACCACACCGCTGGCCCTACTCAGAAGGCAGCTGAGCACACCCACCAAGTCCCTATCGGTTTTGCTTTCCCCAAGGGAACCACCACAGCCTCTGAGCCAGGGAAGACCCAGTGTAGGTATAAAAGGGTGCTCTGAAGGCTTTCAGCCCAGCCTGCAGCCTCCAGTCCCTAGGGCACATAGGGAAAATCGTCCACCTGGCCTGGCCGAATCATCTGTGCTCCACTGCCCCGAGACACACGTGACATGATCTAGGGACACAGGCTGCTTGTGCAGCAGGCGGCAAGAGGTCTGTGTGGGACACATCCGGCAGGTGCTGCTGTCTGCCCCCAGGAATCCTCTCAGCTGCACGCGCACCTGCCCCCATCTGCTTCCCCACAGATTGCCTGGTACCCAGCCGGAGCTATGGGCAGAGCCTCCAGGGGGTGGGGACAGACCCCGCCCCGATGCGCTGCTGCACCCTGCTCCCTGGTCTGCACCAAGGTCTCGCCACAGTGGGGGCTGACGCACCCAGAGACGGGCCGGGGCTCCTGGTGGCCCCGGAGCGGCCTGGTATCAATGCTCTCTGACACAAAGCATGGAGACGGTGATTCTACGGTGATGGGAGCTCTTCAGGAGCTCAGGCACAGTGAGGACCTGCACACCGAGGTGCCGGCTCTTGGGAGGGGCGGGGCGAAGCCCAAGGCTGACAGGCATGTGCGCGAACACACACACACACACACACACACACACACACACACACACACACACACACCATACGCCACACACCTGCTCTCTGGGAGGAGCTGGTACATAATAACTCAGGCAAAACACACTATTTACTCCTCCTACCAGGATACAGCCCACAGACGGAATGCAGTCTTCATTTATATCTCAATCCAAGCACTTATCAAAGAAAATACACCCCAAAACAAAAAATACCAAAAACAATTTTACTCAACCATCAGAGCCTGCAATTACCCGTCCGCCTTCCTGGATTCTAATGACAGCACAAGGCCCCGAGATCCCACCCTCGGGGAAAGCCAAGGCCGGAAGCTCTGCAAGGTGATCCCACCCACACTGCAGAGTGCACGACCACGGTGCGCAGCTCAGGGCTGCGGGTGTCTGCTCGGTACCTGGGGGCCCCCGAGGTCAGTGGCATGTGCAGAGCCCAGTACCGAGGCTCAGGTCCCAGAGGGACAAGGGAGGGGTGGTGGCCACAGCCAACCTGGCCACCCACACTGAGTGACTCAGGCAGGGATGCCCGTGGCTCCCACGCACCAGGTTTGTGCAGCACATGGGGCCTCCGAGGCCAGACTCTGTGGTCACTCAGGCTCCGTGGCAGGCATGACAGGGGCTCCTCTGCAGGCTGGTGGGTGGCACTGGCCTCTGTACACACTGTAACCCTGGTCCACTTCGGCAGATACTGCCATGGGGGCAGCAGGGCCAGTGTTTCGGAGGAAGGGGAGATGTAGGAGGGCAGGTGACAGCCTGATGACAAAGCCCTCAGCGTCAGCCACTGCTGATTGACGGGCCCCGGAGGCTTGGTGAGAGGCACCCAGGAGTCAGGAAGGGGCGCAGTGGCATCCTCAGGCTGTCACAGTGCTGCCACCCTAAAGGTGACAAGCAGGGCTGCCCAAGGCCAAGACACAGGCACACGGCAGTGACTGCCCTGGAGCACTCGCTACATAATGGTGCCATCTGCTCTGCACATGCGACAGGTGACAACCTGTTTAATTCCAAGTGTACTCTGAGAGGCCAGGTGTGGCAGGTTGGGGACCTGGGGACAGCCCTCCAACTTCCCACAGTGATGTTGAAGGCTACAGTGATGTGGCCTCAGGGTCCCCCACGTCCTGTGTGGACAGCACCCAGAGGCCACAGCCACAACCCCAGGGGACAAGATGAGGGGACCCCCCAGGTAAATCTCTGCTGGTCACTCTCCACCTCCTCCACCTTTCTGCAGAGCCAAGAGGGTATCTGTGTGGAACTGAGAGGCTCCCCCCCACCCGAACCCTGAAGTCACTGAAGCCATCCTCCCTGGCAGGGTGACTCACAGCGGGGAGGGGAGGGGGTGGCAGGGAGAGGAGCCAGTGAGCAGGGGACAGGAGGAGTGTGGGTGGCACCCAGCCCTGCCAGCTGCAGGCTGTCACAGGAGGACACCGGGCGGGGCAGGGCAGGGCAGGAAGGGGAGACAGAGGCCCATGCACAGGAGGGGCCACCGCCTGCCGTTCGCGTGCCCGGTCCTGGGTCTTGGCACTGTGTGAACCCCAGCCTAGGCGGGGCCCGGAGCCTGCCGGCCACATGGCCTGGGACAGGTGATGCTCCACTGTAGGCCTCCTCGGGATGACAGGAACAGCAGTGTTGTGGGGCGGTGCTGCACTGAACAGGACAAGTGAGCAGTGCCTGGGCCATGGCGGCCCGTCACCCCTGAGAGGCCGCACAGGCCCTGTTCCTACCAGGGGTCTTCAGCTACATCCAAATTCCACTGAGGGGCTGTTTCCCTATTAAAGGGGCACAGTAGATGCCATGTTCCATGCCCTTGCTCCCACCCCACTCCCCTGAGAGTGGGGCCTCTGTCCCGCCAACCCTGAAGCCTGTAGTGGGGTCAGGCTTGTCCCTCAGCACAGGGCAAGACTGTCGGCCCAGGTGACTGCACTGTCACACAGCAGAAGCGGCAGTCCTGCCTTCCTTCCCTCCTGCCTCAGCCACTGCAACATTCAGTGGCCAGAGAGATTTGTAGAACCTCAGCTGGCTCAGGGCATCCTGACCACAACCACCAGGTCCCTTCCAGGCACCGACCGGAGCTTAACTCTCTACACCTTGTGAAGTCAAACTTGTTCCCAACGTTTCAGGCACCTGAAGGGCACCTGGGCAGGATAGGCCCCTGTTACATTGCCCAACTCCAGACAGGGGGCACAGCTGCCAGTGGAGGTGCAGCCGGGCTCTGTTGGGAGTGGACATCTGGGGAGCCAGGGGGCACCTCCCTGTGTTCCTCCCATGGGGCTTTTCTGAGAGTGCCAGGGAGTCAGGGGGCAGTGGTGGAGGTGACCAGGAAGTGGGCGGTGGGGACAGACACTCCCCTCCCACTGCTCTAGCATGGGGCCCCGAGAACAAACAGCCACCTCCAGAGGCTGCAACACTGCAGATGGACAGCCAAGGAGGGCAGGGCGGCCCTTGTGGTGGCTTCCAGGGCATGTTGTGTTTCAAGAAGCACAGAGGCAACCAGCAATTAGCCTGACAGTGGGAGCCAGCAGCTCTGCCCTGAGGCAGAGGGCGCCTGCATGCCTGTCCTGCAGCTGCGTGCCACCCCACTGGGACAAAGAGAGGGTGCAAAGCTCTCAAGGGACCCCGACAACTCTGTGGGATGCACCCCGCCCCCGGCACAGGGACATCACCCACCATGGAGCACAGGAGTCAGCACTCAGGCTGGGCACATGTGGTTATTCTGGGGTGGCAGGTGGGGGTCCCTACTGCCTTCGCTCCACAGGGCCACAGTCCTGGCAGCTGACATCCTCTCCCAGCGCCCTCTTCAGGATGAAAACTGTCCCCAGACAGAGATGCAGCCCGGAGCTCCTGCTCACTCAGCCCAGTGTGGCATTTGGTGTGGCCGAGGCCACGGGCTGAAGTTAAGGCCAGTACAGAGCCACCAGTGGCTCAGCTGTATCCACTCGTGTCCTCATGGACAAGATAGTCTCTTCATCCAGGGACCAGGGACCCTGAGCAATGCTGTGGCTTCCTGTAACCCACTGGATTACCCAGACAGACCAACCACATTCTCTCTGCTCTGTTCCGAGGCCCCCAGCCCTGCAGCCCAGCACTCTGGGAGCTGCCTACAGGGACCCTCATGCAGTGCCACCTCTAGCCAGTAGCTGTGACGGGAGGTCAGGCTCATCTGCCAAGTTGGCTGCAATCTTGCTCCTTCACCCTCTGGGGTCGGGGAGAAGTCCCCGCCACATGAGGCCACTTAGGCTTCAGTTCTGTCAATATCAGGTGGGGACAATGGTCACAATGGTTGTCCGTGCATGGAGGGGATTACCGCAGCTCTCTCCTCTCCCACCAATCTACACACAGGGCAGGGCCTCCCACACACAGGGACCTACAGCCACCTCTCCACAGAC